AGTCGATCTGGCCGATTCTGATGCACCTCCTGTCAGGGCAAAGCTTCACAAGTCTCGCTGGCAGGTGTTCTATCTTCTAATCTGGGTCCCCATGAGAGCAATGTTGCAATTGAAGAAGAAACAATGGATGAGAATTGGGGGACTACACTTGGTCTCTCAAAATGACCATGAGAAACCACGTCTGCGCTCGTCCGGTGCCTTGAGGTTTTCAACCAGCTGGGAGTTCAACTGCCTCGTCGCCGGAGCTCGGAACACGCCATGATGCATGAGCACGGCAATCCATGCGCTCTTGCGCCGTGCAATCCCTTTTCGGATTTCCCCAAGATTGCCTCTTTCAATGTCCAAACCGATTTCAGGTGGACGGTCATCAACACCGGGCTTGCTCAAGATTCGCAGCCATGAATTGTGGATGTTCCATGTTCAACACTAAGCATGATTGATTTGATGCACTCCGCGTCTAGACATGTAGTACGAATGAGTATGATATGGGCTGACCTTAGACAACCTCCACATGACCACTGTTGAGTTGGCCAAGCACACAACCAATCGGAGTGGACAGACACAGTGCAAGACAACCTCCCGTTCATTTAATGCAAGCCTTGGCTCAACGACAAAAGAAAACGATCCCTTCTTGGGCAAAACAACTGCTCTAACTCGCATATGTATGTGGCTCCGTCCCGGTGGTTTCATCCTGTGCAGGAGTACGTACTATGCATACTGAACAATGGTCGGTATACTGAACAACTATGCAACATCGGGTCTCTGAGGTACCTGGTGACTTCCGCCACGATCAAGTAGGGATGCCCACCATTCAGTGCCGCACGCATGGCTGACCTGGCAGAAGGATTCACCGTAAAGTGGAAGACTGGGAGGAGGTCTACTGTTGCTATTGTGGCAAAGGTGTTTAGATTCGAGTCCTCTCAAATGCTGGCACAGGGCTGGACTCTACGAGAGCTTGTTGGTAGAACTTTGGTTCCAGATCACTTCACCGATCTTCACTTCAAAAGGCTTCGCATGAACAAGGGACTCCTCATCGATGGCTTGAAATTGTCGTCAGGCAGGACAAATTTACTGTTGATCTTTGATGGAAGTGACTCAAGTAGGAATAGATAAGAAGTGATGGAGAATCTCCAATAACACCGCCCCCAAGGGTGCCACCGTCCAGGAACCAAAACTCCATCCACACCTCGCCATCCCATCCACCGCCTGCCTGGCCGCCGCCGTGGCCACTGGCTCCACCGCCTGATAGGGCGGCAGCCCCGAGGCTGCAGCGGACTTGGTGGCCGCCTGAGAGAAGGGTCTCAATCGTCCCCACATCAGACATACATTGAAGCATCAGCTGCACAACATCACACTTGTAGCACCTATATCGTCATATAAAAAAATTAGGATCCTTCTTTCACCCCAAAAAAATACATCGAACCAAATACCTGGCCACGTCGTCTCCGCCACGGCGTGCCACCGTCGTCTCCGGGCCTTTGCGGCGATCTCCGCCGACTTCATGGCGGTGTTCCCGGCCTCGGCCGCCAACTCGCCTGGCGGTCCAGGTTTCTGAAACAGAGAGGGATGGATGAAAGAGATCAGTAGTGATGAAGAGTGTACCAGTAAATAAGGATGTCTCTGGATATCTCGACAGATCTGGACATTTTCCCGTCCAGTTCATGCTCTGTCGGGGAACATGATGACTGGCAAAGTGGCTCCAGTCACGCCGTCGAGTTAGAAGAGGGTGTTTTGGCCTATTTGTACTTGTCTGGAGCCATCATACCCGACGAGTTGGAGAAACATGCCGACCATAAGACCATTGGTCATGTTCGATCATCATGCTTCAATATGCAAGAAAGTGTCTGAAAATTGAATCACAGCCACTGATCACACTACACTTCTTGTCCTAGCTGATACTCGGGAAGACAAATATCTCGTGTTCCCGGCCTGTGATTTTTTGCCCTTCTTCAACAGGCAGCAGTGTGTACAGTGCGTGTTAAGTTTCGACCCTCCTAAGCCATAACTCTCCAAACCGGGTAGTAGGGGCACTTTTGTGTTGCTTTCCATGCTCATAAGACATATTCTGCACCCAGCACTTGTCACCAATTACTTGTTTGTACCTTCTTGTTCCACCACATCCACAACAATCCGCACCACACGGTCCCCTTAGTCCCCTTCCGCCGCACCGGCCGCACACCGGCCGCGCCTGCGGCCACACCGGCCGCGCGCGCGGAGACCTCGGCCACCTGCTGCGCGCCGCTCCCAGCCTCCTCGGCTGCCGCCGACGCTGCGATCGCCGCCTGAGCGGCGTCGGAGCAGGTGCTGCCATTAGACCTGAGGTTTTCTGGAGCTCCTTCCGGGCTCCTTTGGGGTTCCTAGAGTCCTAGAGTGGATTTCCAGTGACGCACTAGGGGCACAGGCTGCAGTTCCAGTGCTGTTCTCAGCTCTAGGGGCTTTGGCTGAAGTATGCCATGGTGGATTCCGAGCACTTCAGCTGCTCCAGGAGTCATCATTAATTCTCAATCCAGTCCTAGAAGTGGGGAAGGACACATCAGTGACACATCAGCACCAGTTTCAAAACAAACAAGCACACTAGCAAACCAACCTAGGAACCAATTGAATAGAAGCGTGAGTTGTCCTGCATCCAGTAGGTAGGTGCGGCATTAAGTAGGCGCCTTCTTAATTAAATAAGAGCATGCTTAATTTAAAGTATCATAACATGCATTCAGCGCCACTCGCCTCGTCGGCCACCTGCTCCAAGGTGAGATCCGCCTCGAGCGCCGCACGCGTGGCGTGCTGCCCAGCCGCCTCGGCGGCGGCGTCCGCGGCCTGCGGGTCACGGACTGCGGGCGGACTTTTGGATTGAAGAGAAGAAGCTAGTAATTACAAGTGCATCGCTAGTAGTAACAAGGGCCTTACTGGTAGTAACAAGAAGCTAGTAATTTTAATTTGATTCTTATTGTTACTAGTAGTAAGGCACTTGTTTCTAATATCAAACATTGTTACTACTAGTAAGGCACTTGTTACTACTAGCGTGGCACTTGTTACGCTAGATAGTAACAAGGGCAGTGCTACTAGACCGGTGTGACTTGAAGATTGCAAGCTGCCAAGTGGCAAAACTTAGCCGCCAGGTGTCCTTTTGGGATCTTCAGACTTGGCACCGTTGGTGATCCCCCAGTGCCTGCACCCGCTGCTGATTCGCCTTAGATCACCCTTTCTGCCCATCCCAATCAATTATATTATATCTCATATCATATTCCCATCCAGGATCATGCTCCTCCTCCTCCTCCTCCTCCTCATCATCATCATCATCTGCTGACCCCCGCCATCCCATCCCTTTCCGTTCTCCAACTCACCATCTCACATCCCGCCTGCGCCCGGTCGAGGCTTTGCTCGGCCGCCAGCTTCGCGGCCGCACGGCCGCCCAGCGCGGCGGCGTCCTTGTTGGGGTGCTCTGCTCCGACAGCGCCGTGTGGATCACTTCGGGTGTGAAACGATAGGAAGACCGACCTCCCAGTCAGACCCCTGGAAGAAGGGAAATTTGATGTGTTGGTTTCAAGAGTGGGGGACACCACTTTGGACATCTCAAGTGTGTACCCTCCGGAAGTGTAAAATGGACTGCATGGAGAAGGCAAGAACCCCGAGATCACCCTGGTTTCAAGTAGATGGCGCAATCCCCGAGTCCATCTAAACCACCAAACTTGGGGATTGTGCCGGATTGTGCCATCTACTCTGAAACCATTTAATTTGTTGGGACTTCTGAAACCATTTTAATTTGTTGGGACTTCTTGAAAAAGAAAGGAGTTCCAGGCATCTTCATGAATCGTTTGAAGATGGAGACCCATCCCTGGGCAACTTATAGAACATCTTAAATCTGCTTGGGGTGGTCACTGGTCTTGGGCAACAGAATCGGTGGAATTATGTTACAGTACTATTATTGATTGGATTTGATTGGGAATGGTCATGACTGACAATCGGAAAAAGATACAGGCACAAGAACACATGAATGAGTTTTCCTCATCTGTGTGCACTGTGAGGAACCTGTGCTGTCAAAAAACAATGATCTTTTTGTTGGCATAGCTACAGACTCAAGCCTCTGCAAACGATGTATCCGTCTGTGGACACATATCAAAAAGCAGTGATCCAACATGATGCCTTCAAATGCCATGCATCTCTTTCCACAGGAACTCAGTCGGCAAATGGAAACCATCGAATTCCTAATCCATTGAAATATATATATTATATATATATATATTGAAATTCTAACTACGCTGTGCACGCTCTTCACCGCTGCTTTCGTTCAAGATGCCACCGGCACCATCCCAAACTCCGCGGCCGCCCTCAGCGCTGCCCCCGCCGCGCAGTCCGCCGCCTCTCGCAGGCCCAAACCTTGGAAAGCCGGCCCAACCGGTCCGTTTAAGGATGTTTAAGGCACTTGGCTGGAAAGACCAGTAGCAATGCGCTTAGCTACTAGTCGCGATGCACAGAAGCTACGTTCGTGGCTTCTTGCTACTAGTAGCATGCACCAGTCGCGTCCTTGCTACTAGAGCCTCAGAGTTTGTGGCCGATCTCAATTCTCAAAAAGGGACCCCGAAGGATCCTCAACGACTTGAAGCCAAATCTTGGTCAGACCATCTCCATCTCCATCGGATTTCCACTTCCCATCTCATCCCCCACCTGCTTGTAGCGCGCTCTGCCCCAGCGCACCCCCCGCGGCCATCGCCGCGGCGATGCCGCACTGCCGGCACTCCTCCTCCGCCCGCTCCAGAGCATCCACGAACTCGGTATAGCCTAGGCGAGGCCCGTGAACCACGCGCGCAGCACGCAAACATCGCGCGCCGATCCATAGATCTTTTATAGATCTGTTGGGCGGGAAAAATGCAGGTCGTCCTGTCGTGTCCGGAAATAGAAAAGAAGCAGTTCTGGCTGTTATTTTGTGTGTTCGGTTCGGGGTTGAGTTTTTGGGGAAGTAACGAGTCGGGGAGCATCGGCTTCTGTTCTTGCAACGTGTCCTTTTTCGCGCGAGCATTGCCCAGTCCAATGGCTCACTGTGTCTCACTGTGGATGGGTAACCCAGCGTCCACCTGCAGCGATCAGGTGCTTCGAGCAAGGAAAGACTGCACGCATCGACGCATCGCTCACCTGCTCACCTGCACCGGGAAACCGAAATCTCCCTCTTCCCTGAAATCAGTTTAGGGCATATTATCATGGACCGCATGGCCCCAGCAAGGATGACCATCATGTTCCGAATACCAAAAAAAAGGGTGGTGCTTTCCCGCCTCTATAATGACTGGGAGTGTACCTCATTCGGTTGAAGTTCAAATGATGCAAAAAGAAGAGAAGAGCGCTTTGTGTCTTTCCACAGCGTGTCTTGGAAGATAAAGGCACGAATCTCTGTTGGTTGCAGGATTTTAAGAAGTTGCCGGTGCGTCTACCAGACTCTAGACAGTATGCCGAGGAAGAAAAGATGTATGTGATTGTGTGTGGTTGGTTTGGGGGTTGATCTTGTCCTAAAATGAACCAAAGACGTCACCAGCATCTGGTAGCTCAGTTCAGTTGTTCTTTGTCTTTGCTGGTGAAGGAGGGTGATCAATCTGATACTGCACTGCTATACTGATCAACATCCCTTGCAAGCAAACCAGCAATCTATCCAGTCCAAATCTTCAAAATCCACGACACCAACGCATCAACTCTTTGGTCCGACCCCCTCTTCAAAGAGGAACCTTATAGAATGTTGTTGTCCTCCCTTTCATTCTCTGTGCTTTTTGATCTTCACCACCAACACAAAGCACCTTATAGCACCTTCCCTCCCACCTCCATGCTTCCTGCCGGCGCCAGCGGCCGCACGTCGCCGCCCAGCGCCCCCGCCAGCGCCGCCGCCCCGGACGACGGCGCGTCGGCGTCCGGGGCGCGCGCGCCGAGGCGACGGAGGAGGGCGACCACGGGGGATGTAGCGCCAAAGCGACGGAGGGAAATGGCCAAAGGAGTTTTTCCCTCCTGTTTTTGGTCGAGTCGAACAGGAATCGAGTTTGGCTGAGAGGAAAGGTGCTTGAGGGCTGCAATGTTGGTTGAACATAAGGCTGAGATCTTTTGAGGGAGTATCCACTGCACTCGCTGTCCTTCTTACTGTCAAAGTAAGAAGCGCCCTGTTTAGAATCCAACACACACATATCTTGAAAAAGTCAAATCTGCGGAGATCCACATAATATTAGTATATACTTGGCCTGCCTAGTGAAAGCCCTTCTCGCCCTCACATGCTCATACCTCCTCATACCTCCCACTCTACGCTCCTCATTGGTGGCCTCCATGTCCGCCCTGGCATTCACCAGCAGCTCCACCGCATGCAGGGCCCCCGGATGACAGTGCCGTGCCACACTGTGCAGCGGCGTGTTCCTCTCGACCGGAGCCAGCTCGAAGGATCGGCATCGCCAGACGTACGACGTGAAGGCGTCGGAGGCCATCACTGGACAGGGAAGCGAACGCCCAAGTCCCTCTGGTGCGTCGAGGGTCTTAGTAGTCTTGTCATTTTTATGGTCTTTGGTGTAGATGTTTTATGATGTTTTGGCATGTTCAAGCACCTCCGAAAGGATTCAGCACCACTTGGGATGATACCTAAGACCCTCCAGGAGCCCCTAGTAGCGTCCTTGTTCCTAGTAGTAAGGCCAGGAGCCCCTACGTAGTAGCGTCCTTGGCACATGTCCTGCAAACCAAAAATATGGTGAGAATACCGTGCGGTTGCGCCCAAGCGCCCACACGCGGAACCCGCATCTCCTGAGATCACCTTCCGCACGATGCGCCAGGGCCGCTGCCAACTGTTGGCGCTGTGCCAAGGCTTCCAGTAGCCGCGTCTGGGCACGGAAGGTCTTGGCGAAGTGCCGCGAGGACAAGGCCGGAGGCAGTGGGTCATCGTCACCTGCCGGCAGTGGGTGTTCGTATGGTGACTCGGTGACTCGTCCGTCTTGAAAGCGATCATCTTCAGTTCATGAAGACTCAAGACATCTTTGTTTTGTCGTTAAACCTTCTTTTGGAGACATCTTCGGTTCTCCTTTGCGTGAAAGCGGACACCCTAAGTGAGTGGATGTTGCTGTCGTGCTGTGGTCGGGTCGGACGCCCCACTGAAGCACATGAACCCATCCAAAGTGGATGGCATTGCTGTGTACAGCGGCTGTGTCGTCGCCGGTGAGGATCCACGAATCTTGCCAGATCGGAAAAGAAATGGCCTGTATAGGACCTGTTGTCTCTAGCTTAATGTAGACTCTTGATTAATTAACCCCCCCATATGAAGAGGATTTTGCACTTCAAATGAGGGTGGTTTCTCAAGAGAACACACATTAGGCTTCATTCGGCCTGTGTGTTCCGCCGCAAAGGTCGATGGCATCTGCTTCTGCCGAGTGGCCAGGCCCGAACTCCGCCATGAGGTGCAGCGGCAGCTCCTGCGATCCGTTCTCCACATAGGGTGACGCGCCCCGCTCGAGGAGCGCCTCCAAGGCTCGTGGGCTTCCGTACAGCATCGCGCCTAGGCTTTGGTGTGTTTTGGGGTCCACCAAATTGGGAAAAGGAAGGGGTTTTGAGCTGTTTTTGAAGCATGTTGTTCTTCAAAGGCGACAAATGCTATGTTGAATGAGCTCTGGTTGGTGGTGAGTTTGGGGTGTGGATGGTTTGAGGTTTTAATCGATGAGCGATGATGAAGATTCTTGGGCATGCACTGTTGCATCCTTCAACAGCTTTTGGGGTGACCCTGTCAAGGCTGCGGCAGGACCGCTAAACCGGGGTTGATATCGGTAGGCTTCTTTCAGCAAGCGCGCTTCTGCCTCAAAGAAGACCATGGCTGTCCATGGCTAAAATTGGTAGTGCCACCTACGAATCCGGAGAAGATCAATGAATCACGAACTCTGGGCTCAAGTCGCACCCCAAGATCACCCCTCAGATTCTACCGGCAGGTCTGAGTCCCAATATTCCTCACCTCCGACCCCAACCGCCCAACGGAGCGCCGGGTCGCAATGGAGCGCCGTGTCGCCCTGGTCGTCCCCCAGTTGCGGCTCTGCTTTGGCCTCCAGCAGCGTCGCCACCACGCCCGGCGCGTCACTCTCGGCGGCGAGGTGCAAGGGAGTGCTGCCGTGGTGGCCCACCTCTTCCGGAGGTGAATGGAGGCTGGGGGGTTGTTGGGATGAGGGAAAGGTGTCTTCTTCTGTATCTTTTGTCTGACTGTTGTATCCATCTCGTGTTCGACGCAATGTCACCATGCCGCCCACACCGCCCTCTACACCTGAAAAGACGTCTTTGGGCCATGTCTGTTTCCATGATTGCCCTCTACAAACCCAACGAAAGCGCCGTTGGACGCAGGTTCGACAGAAGACCAAGAACTCCAACTCCGCTTCGGACACCTGGAGCTTCCCACCGGTGCCTTCGCCTGTAAAGGGTCCAAGAAGCGGCACCAGTGGATGGCATCGGCCTCCGCGGCCTCCAGCTCTTCCCCTCGGTTCGGGCCGATGAGGAGATAAGCTGCTTGAGAATGTCTGGGGTCGGGAGAAAGGCGGAGTGAAGAGACGAAGTAAGGAGGGGGCGGTCATGGTGAAGGTAGAGGATGCGACAAATGATCGATCAAACCTGAAAGAACCTGAACATCGGAACTGTCCAACTGATGTCAGTAGGGTAAGTCTATAACACACCTTCCAAACTAAACCAGCCAACCAGCCAACCCCCCAACTTGCACTATTCAAGGAAACTTGACGAAAAGACATCCAAGCAATCCTCTCTACTGCAGCAACTGCCTCCGGCCGGCGCGGCTGGGGTCGTTTTTTGGGGTCCGAAGAGACCCTCCAATTCGGTGACCGTCCGGACTGACAGTCCTGGTGACACGTCATGACCACCACGTCTCCATCCAATTGGGGCCAGGTGCTCGGGTGATCTGCTTCCTGATCCACCTCCATACCATCCACGAGCGCCTTTTCCTTAGGATGGTCACTCTAGACTCTATCACGGGAAAAGACCTTCACTCGAACTGTTGAAAGGACAGTGGATTTGGAGTGAAGGATTTTAGAGACCCCGAGACCCCAAGACACAGTGATGGGGGCGGAGACCCCAAGAACCTGTGTCTTGCGAGGCGTGGTCCGGCGTGGTCCTCGCGGTCCGGGACGGTCCCTGCGAGTGGCCATCGCAGACGTGAAGACATGTGAGACATCAATGGTCTGCTTTTGTGGGCTGTGCACAGGTGGCTGACTGTTCAGGTGCAGAAAGACCACGATCGATTTGGAACATCCATGGCCCATTGTTGTTGGATGAAACGGAATCAGAATGGGGTTTCGGAGCAAATTTTTGAAGGGTTATCGACCGGCTCAGGACGTCTGTGGACGTCGCACCGCAACCCCAAAAGCACAGGACCTCAAGCACGGAAGATATCATGCTAGCTCCCATGATCACAAACAAAGAATAGAGGACCAGTGGTCGTGACATTCAAACAATTTTTTACAGAAAACTCGCGTACAACTAGGCGCACAAACACACACACAGAGACACAAACACACCATCTTTTTCACACAGCAAAAAGGACCACATCTTTTTCACACACCACATTGCCTGAGCCCCCATCTGCCATCCAACCTGTAGAGAAAACAAAAGGACACCCAATGGCCCAATGACCTGGCCTCTTTCTTGAAAGGACCGAACGGCCAAGGACGTAAGGACCCTGGTAGCATCCTTGTTCCTAGCAGTATAAGGCCAGGAGCCCCGTTCGTAGCGTCCGATCGCCCCGTTCGTGGCGATGCCAGGAGCCACGTTCGTGGCGATGCGTCCGATCGCCCCCTTCGTGGCGAGTGCCCGGAGCCCACACGTCTCTTCCTCTTCGTTCCAAGGCGCCAACTCCTCGGTGGCTTTCATCGCCGCCTCCGAGGCCCGCACGGCCAACAGCTGGGCGCAGCGCTGCGCATCGCTGGTGGCGCACTCGTGCAGCGGCGTCAAGGCACCGGTGACGCCTCGACCGTCCCCGGGTGGAGAAGATGTTGTAAAGCAAAGGGTTTACAAAACGGTAGTAAATAGGTTTAATTAAACATATAATATGTTAACATTAGATGGGCAATCATGGGCATATGTTTGAAAAAAGAATAGAAGGCCATTTTGGTGAAGCTGTTTTTGGGAGGGGAGTGTTAATTTGTTTGTGGATGTGGAATGGTGGAATGGCGTGGAACTCCCCCAAGGAGTTGCTGGTCAATTTCAAATTGATGCCTGGGCTGGCGCCCAAGACCTTGCAGGATGGGTTTGCCGACTTGGGTCTTGAACAGTTTTGAGTCAAACCCCCATCCCTAGCAGCTGCCTTTCACGCAGCTGGCAACGTCCGCTTTGGCATCCAACAGCAGTTGCAAGACCTCCACGCTGTCATGATATGCAGCCAGGTGCAAAGCGGTTCCTGGGCATTGTTTGTGGGGAATTCGACATGGTTGGTTTTGAGAATTTTCAACTTGAGTGAAAACGAAAGCCATGGATTCAACTTGATTCAACTCCTCTCCGCTTCACCTGTTGGCCGGTTCATGCTTGTTCCAATGTGGTTTACACAGAAAACTGACAAGCACTTGAGAGGAAGCTCCCCCCTAGCTGTGATATGTCCAAGACTTCCGCACTTCCCAAGCAATAACACTTCAGCAAGCCAGCTTACCCGTGCCAACCGAGGGTCGCACACCCGCCCTGCGGCCGCCTTTCGCAGTTCCTTCCTCCTCCTCCAGGTCGGGTGGGTCGCAGAGCGCGGTGAGGCTGGCCGAGTGTTCTAAAAGCACCTCGACCAAGGGACAACCGGCTCGACATACCAGCACTTCAAGAAACATGGAAGTGAGCAACCCAACCAAATGGCCTTTCGAACATGTTCGAACCACTTTCAACTTCCATGATTGCTGGAGGGAGGGTGCGCAAACCAACACTTGCTAAAGGCCTTGCTTTGCCATGCACTACCGTGGAGTCACACAATTTGTTTGATGGTACTGCAGCTCAGCACGACGCGCCAGCTGCATCATGGCACTTGGTCGACTGATCGCTGTGCCAAGAGATACTTCGCACCACGCCCTCACTTTGGGTACAGGCTCATTAGTTCCATGACCCGTGGCGCTCGTTCCGCTGCTTGGAACGAGTCGAAGCCACCGTCAAAACCGGCGTGCCGAAGCCAGCTCCTGAACTGGGCCGGCCACGCGTCGTGATCGTCGCCACGACCGAAGTCGTGATCGTCGCTGCCAAAGCGCGCAACTGCATGAGTCCTGTCTTAATGCTACGGAACACGTGCAAGCAAACGGATGTCTAGGTTGTGGCTGAAACTTGGATGCTGAGTGGGGGTCACTCTGTGTCCTTGAGCTATGGACCAGTCACCAGTGTCATCCCACCTGTCCACATTCATCAGCCCTACCACCCTATCTGCTTTCCTTTTCTATTGCACCCTTTGCCATGGGTTGCTGACGGTTGCTGCACTTGCCTGTTTGGGTGTCAAGTGTCAAGCCAATCTAAGCATATCCGATCATATCCGTGACGTCCGAGTGTATCGACCTCGTCGTTGAGGCGTCAACCGATGGACTTCTGACTCGCCTACTTGGTCACCGATGGAGTGACGACAGCGAGACGTCACCTCTCTGTGCTTGGCATTAAAAGCAGTCACGTATGAAAACTCGGTCGGATTCTGAAAGAGAAAAACGATGGGATTCTGAATCTGCCGCACGTTTTTGTATGGCCTCACACCCCACCCTCTGTGCCTTCCCATCGTTTTGGAGTCCTTAGTAGTTGTGGAATCCAGTTGTGGAATCCCCAGAATGTTGGAGCCCTAGCCCGGCTGCGGAACCTGATCGAACAGTTTTTGAATCCACCTGCAACTACCGAGGTCTATCCCCTCAGTGCAAAACCTGCTTCAGAAGCATCGCATCGCAGCAAGAACTCCTGTGCTGGGTCCCTGTTGGTAATGTTAACTTGTGGCTCTTAACATAAAATGCTTTACTGTATTTAGTGCATGTTATGTTCATAATGCTGATTAAAGCTTTAGTGCAGTGCCTCTTTATGGAGCCAAGAATTCCTCCACTCGCGCCTTGGCCGCCTGAGCGCTGTCGCGCATCGCACAGACATGCAGCGCCGTGTGGTGCTTGCTGTCGAGAAGCTCCAGGGTATCGGCTCCTCGAACCCGAATTGGCCGTGTTTGGGGGGCGAAAACCGGAGACGTCATGGATTGAACCTGAAACCAAATCAAAAAAAAAAAAAAGATATACTCCGTGGTTTCTTTCGAACGATTCTGCAATGTGTTGTTTGTTCAAGTGAGGCTATGCCGCAATGCTGCGGAAAGTCATGGCTCCTGAAGCCTCAAACCCGAAGGGTCTCAAGTGGGGAGCTGGTTCCAGCGCGCTCCCCAAACCCACTCAGTCCACCTTCATGGCATTGAGACCAGCTTCAACTCTGGACATGTCGGTCTGCTATGAAGCCAAATATGATCGTTAAACAAAACGATCTTCCAGTCACAAGACGGGGTGAACTTGCAGGATCGGGGCGCCCAAGGACTCCACTCACTCAAAAAAAGGGACTAAGAACCACCGAACCACCCCGTCGAACGTGACTCTTGGTTGACGAACGCGTAATCAGTCCATCAACCCTCACAGTCCTCCCCGTCCCAATAGCTTCAATCCAACAGCAGCACGACCGGACCGGCACATCGGCGGTACTGACCGGACCGGCATATCCAAGGCTCTTCGCATCTCTTCACCCTCCTCTCCCTCCATTAACATCAGCTTCAGCACGTCTCCCAGATCCGCTTCCGCCGCACAGTGCGCCAAGGGCAGATCACCGCAGAATCGATCCAAACCGTAGCAGTGCGCGGTGCGGAGGGAGCCCTGCGCGGTGCGGCGGGCAGGCAAAACATGCTTTGCCTCCTCAGGCTGTATGAAGCTTCAAGCTTGAAGCGTGAACTTCGTGAACCATTACGTAAAAACCCCTAGTTGTCCACGAGCTCTAACAAAGGCCTCATCTTAAGTCTAGGTTCAGGCAGGCCCACACCATCCTCCAACTTTCCATCACAGGCCGCGCAATGGCCAAACCCTTCCAACAGGCTCCAAATGTATAGTTGAAACACCACTTGGACCAGAAAACACTGTCCCCCTTCTCACACTCTCCATCACTCAGTCCCTCTTTCATCCTCTTTCCCTCTCATTATCGCTCCACACGTGTTACTTCGCACGGCACGCACGCAGACGCGGAAGGGGGGCGGCGCACCACATCCGCCGGCAGCTCCAAGCGCACCAGCGCGTTCAGCAAACGTCGGCCCTCCTGGGCCGCGTAGCGCGCGGCGTCCAGGAGCTGCGACGCGCCCAGGAGATGAGCAGCGGCGAAGCTGTGAAACCTGAGGACCGCGTTCGACGCTGCGAGAGGACGGAGGGCGGATGAAACGGGGCCTAAAAAGGACGAATGCGTTTACGCACGGCTTCGCTGTTCCAATCTCTGGACGAGATGTATCATCATGATTTTTTTCGTATTGTGTTTCTTACTTCTCTTTCTTGAGGAAGCAAAAGTAAACCCAGCTAGCAAGGATTGAGGTGTTAAGTTTAGCAAAAAACTCCCCCACCCCAAAAAGGCAGATGATTCTAAATGACATGAGCAAATTAGATGGACGAAAGCAGCGGCTGATGCTTTGCCTTTTTCACATCGCCGAGTGGCAGCAGCTCTTCCGAGAAGAGTTCGGGTTCCAGAGACGACTTTCCTCCTGGTCACGGGAAACAGTTTGGCTAAACAAACCTGAAACCAATCCTCCTTGCAACGTGAACAGTGAATAATCACATACTGTATTATATAATATGAAGTTGAACACAAGATTTACAAATCACATCTCTGTTGTTGGAGAGATCATTCATCACACCAGGGAGCCCAATCAGAAGGATGATATTCAACTGCTTCCCCCATAAAATGTTAACAATTAAAGCAGTAGGAGCACGTATTTTAAAAAATAAGACTCATGAAACCTATTTAAAAACGCGTATGAAGATATTGAAAAACAATAAAGACAATAGTTCAAAATCTGAGCACAGTAAGAGAAAGAGAAAGAGCAAAAGACCAATGACCATTGACAAAATTGAGAAAATACAAAAACATTTAAAACAAGTACATCAATAAAATTCTATGGGTTCTAATGGGATTTGATTGTTTCTAATGAAGTTCAATGGGGTAGCCTGATTGGCAGCCCTGTGAGCAGCACCCCTGTTCTCATAAAAGAAGAGAGATGAAATTCAAAAACCACCAGCCACTCCAGCAGCAATCTTCTCCTGGATGTCCCAGCCATTCCAGCAGCAATGGCAGGCTCCGACGCCCCTTGGGTGACAGCACCTTCAGCAGACTTTCCAATTCAGCTTCCCCATAATCGATTGGCCCTGGCTCGTCCTCAGCTGTGGTGACAAACAAGTTGGATTGCTCGGGTTCGGCTGAGCAAGTTCAGATCGGAGTGCCGCTGCAAGATGCTACAAGTACCTTCAAGATTCAGAAATCGACCTGTTGATCAGTACCACAACAAGAAAAGAAATGACACCGGTGCCCGGTGCTTCCAAAATCTGTTGCAATGCTTACTGACTTGCAGTTTGTTGGAGTTGCTCCCCGAAACGGATGGCCCACTACTGGTCTCAAAGAGACTTTCTTTGTTTGCCGCCCATCGTATCTCTTTTCCCAGGCTCCGCCAAGACTGCAAAGAATTGCGCCTGCTGGGCCAGTGAGGTTCGAGACGCCTCGATGCAGCTGCCCAAGTGGAAGCGCACCACATCCGCCATGGCCGTCCCCGGTGCCGTTCGCGTGGCGTTCGCCCAGCTGGCAGGCGGGCGGTCCAAGCGTGGGGTTGCAAAAGAGGTTGCAGTGCCCAGCGCATGTCGCGAATGGGTTCCTTGAAGCCCCTCCAAGTGTTCGAAGGATCCCACTAGAGGAGTAGCCATCGACATGGATTGATGCTAGAAACAGCACAAACCTATCAAACATATACACCCACCACAATCGTCTTTGTCTGCCGCAAGAACGAACATCGGCTCGCCACGCACCCAAAACGGCAACACCGTCTTTGTCTCCGCTACAGCCCTATAGGTGTCGCCCAGGTCTGGGGGCCCTTTTCTATTTCTTTGAAGACAGCGTTGACATGCTGAGTGTTCGGATCCCACAGAGATCCACCAACCCCTCATTTGACGGTTCTACATCGCTAGCGTTGCCCCCTGCTTCAGAGCCAATCCCACGGTCTCCCGCTGTCAATGCCCATTCCAAGAAGCGGATTCGGCCCTGAGCATCCCGGTCCAGCTCCTGAAAGACCTGGCAAGTCGCCCAGGAGGTCTCTCGAATGGCCATCAAACGTAGGATGCATCGCATAATTCAATAACTATTATATAGTGGATCACAAGCTACCTGAGACCTTTTTAAGGTTGGAGTTCAGTAGAAAGAGATGCCTATAGAAAGCCCCTTTTCGCCCTGTGTTTCTCTCAAACAGTTCCTTTCGCTCATCCAGTTCGCTCTTCGCTTTCGCCCTTCGCTGCCAACCAACTCGGCCGACAGGAGCGGTGCCAGCGCCTGCGGCCAGGCGTCGTCGTTGAGATCCAAGCCGATCTGTCTGAAGATCCTCGGTCCGTGCGGAGAAAAGGGACGGATGTGACCGGACCCCATGGAGAAAAGGACGTGGATCGCATACGGAAAGAACTCGCTTTGGAAAGAGTGTGCGATCCAAGTGTTCTGAGTTCTTTCGCGTGGAAAGAGAACGTCTTCCCGAATTGACCTGCTAACTCCGCACCAGTAAGCTACAAGGAGCTACCGAGAAATATACATAAAGTAATCATGGCCCACTTCAACGCTGTCCTCACCAAGTTGCAGTTGAGGTGTATCACCCGTATCAAACTTGGGGCACGTTGCTGGGGCCAAAAGAATCCAAAAAATTCCCAAACACAATACAATACCAAAACCAATAAGTAGATTAGCTCTCACTCTGCATCTACCAATGACAGTTTCCCATCTCAACTCCTCTCCAGATCCGCAACCGAGGCGCTTCTTCAATTCGTTCGGCGTGATCCGGTCGCTACCTGTAGCCCCACCGCTTCTGGACGGGAACTGGTCAAGTCTTCCAGTGGAACTCTTCTTCTCGGACAAAAAATACCGTTCAAAGAACCAAAAGACTCCGGCCGGACCCCTTAGAATTCAGAATCACCTTGCCGAATTGCCAAGCATGTGTACACTTGAGGCAAACAAAAACGCGCTTGCAAAGATCTAAATCATCTGTGAAGACTTAAACGCGTTAATTACATCTATATGTCTATAATCATCTAATTGTGTGTGATGCTGTTAGAACAACCTGGGCATACCTGTGCCAGCGTGCGACAGTAAACTCGCAGGGCATTGCAATGAAGGAAGTCAAAGGGTGAGGAGTGTCGAGCCAGCCATGTCAAGAAACACGTTGTGGGAAGCCCACGCAGGTCCTGTGTAGTGGAACTAAGTGAAGATGAAACAGAACAAACATGTACAAAGTTCAGATTCAGGCTGTGTTTTGTTGTTCTCTGCATCAATAATTGATCTGTCCCGGCCTGTCCCCGCCCAAACCAAAAAATCCGTGGACGGTTCTTCCCGCGAATTCGGAGACCACTCCAAAGCGGTTCTTCCAACTGAGGTCCTCACGCTCGGTGGTCCGCCTTAAGGTTTCCCCCTGCAGGAAGCGGCGAAGCAGCGGGGAAAACCAGTGGTTTGCCTTCGGTTTGCCTGCTGTTTGGTATCTGGTCTGAGAAAAAAGAGAAAACTGAGACCATCTTGGTTCTCCAGTTCATTTCCGCGTTTCCTTTGACATCTTTGGCGGGACTCCCTTGACTTGGAGACACTGGCAGGTGGATAGAAACTTCTCGCAGCCGTTTCATCACAAGTTCCGTCTTGTCTTCAATAAGGAGGTACTTCAATGAACACCCCATGATGTCTCTCGAACAAGCAAGCACATCATGCACGCCATGCTATACCCTTGAACAAAGGGGATGTCCATCTGTACCATCCCTAGGGCCCTACCTCTGGCATCAATGATCAAAATGTAAAGCAACCCCAATCTTCTCAAGGACTCTGAATCACCCATGAATCCAACGAAGTTCAACCAACACTGTCCACCCAACTTGTCCACCCCCAAAGCCAAAAGTAGGCCAAAACCCCCCCCACCAAAAAAAAAGGAAAACACCCTTTACAAACACCCCAAGCACAAAACCCCAGGCACCTTCAGCTGGGACATCGAGTCAGGGCTTAGACATCTCGCCTCGGTCCGAGTCAAGGTCGTCACTCGTCGTCCGAGAAGCGATCGGCTCATCGACCGCTGACGACGCACAGGCACAGGCACTGAAAAACCGCTGACGCCCCGCGCCCCAAAAAGACAGGGCTCGCAACAGGATGCACGATCCATTGGCAAAAATCAGAAATGAAGGAAGAAAGAAGCAAATGCAGGGAGATCGGATCAGGAGACCCGGTTCCGATCTTGGACTTGAAAAACATGTTTGCTCTCACATGACTCTCTCACTGCATGTTCATTTGACCCATGGTGAGGTATCCTATGGTATGGCTCAAGGAAAACATCCTCCCAAACCGCAGCGAACCGCCGTGTCTCCATGGCCATCGGCCACCAGTTTACGACTCCGCATCGACCCGTCCAGGCAGACCGTCCCGTTCGACCGGTCCCCTTCCCGTCGAAGCCACGATCTCCGAGATGGTCAGCGTGGGATCCTCGGAGCAACGACGGATGGAAGCGTGCTCCAACCATCTCGGGTCATCTGAAATGGGAAAGAGTCTCCTATGTGAGGGAACAAGTGCCAAAGAAAAAGAAACCTGTTGAGCTGCTTCATCGCTCACCACGGAGGACCGACTAAATTGACACCGACACCGTCTCCACCCCCTGCCAACTTGGTAGACCGTCCAATGGTCACTGGCCTCCACAGAGACCGCCTGCATTGCGCTGCGCGCGCAGGAGAGGCCGATGACCCTCAGTCGCGCAGAAGTTGCTGCTGTAGGATCAACCATGGATCAACTATGATCAACCGATCAACCAGTTGTGATTGGATGGAGTGATTGTGATTTTGTTTGTGCGGGATGATTCATTGCATGGACACGATGATCGGAATTGCACCAATGTCCCGTGTTTTTCCGATCTACGATGATCTACGATGATCTACGTATCAACAACTGCAAATAGGAATCGGTGACCTGAAAAAGACAACGGCATCAGAACCCTCTGTTACATCCTGAGATCCATGTAGATCACCTCAGCGAGTCCAGGCCCACAACCACCCAATCTTCCGCTTCTGCGCTCCATACCGCGGGCGAAACGAAAGCGTTTGAGACCCGAGAATTGAAAGGCCCAAGCTTTTTGGGAGCATCCTGTCCTCTCTAACAGCACCACAGCACCAGGTTTTCCCTCCGCACCAAGATGCTCTTGAAGCTCAGCTAGGAGCACCCCATGCTCCTCAGCCGCCTTCACCTCAGTCGTTCGGATGGCCAACAAACGCAAAACAGAGATCTCTTAGGACATCGTTTTGTGCACCAAATCCTGTGGATCTCGATTTGACGCGCTTCGCCCTGCAACGCCCAGCACCCACGCCCAGAACCTGTTCACCGACATTTCCACTTCAAAAGGCTGAACAAGACCGGTAACAAAGCTATAGGCTATAGTCTACAGAACTGTCTACAGACTGTGATTTGGAAGTACAATCAAAAAAAGTAGAAGTGTTTCGAACTCCAAACCTCTCGACTGGTGCTTGGCCGGGCTGCCACCGCCCGCGCGGCGGCCTCAGCTGCAGCCACCTGGCCTGGCGACGCTGCCAGCGGGCCAAAGCTGAGAGTCTGATCTTCCCACCTCAGGCATTTCGGGGTAAGTTCTAGTGATTCTAGTGACTATTCTTCTTCCTGGCGGGCTTCTACAAGCAAACATTGAAAGTCTTCAGTGGAAGTTGTCAGGGGGAGGTGGTTGGAGTTTCAAAAGCATCTCTTCTCCGAAACCACTTGTCAAAGCAGGCCAACGCTGCTCTCTATCTCTGCACATCCAGGCACATCCAAATCTGCCTACACTGACCACCAATAAAGTGCCACCAAGCGCCACCAAAACATTCAAAAAATAAACGAAAAAACAGAACGGCACACCATGCATCACCACAACCGGGCAGACCACCACCAGTCCCTCCACAAGCACCCCCGCCCACCATCGTGTGCCTCCACCGGCTTGCACCTCGGCGAGGCCGGCAGCATCGCCCGCCTGGGCGATGAGGCCATGCACCTGGAGCCGAGTGAGGTCTTGTTCGGAATTTCGACGAGGAGAGGAGACGAGTGAAGGGGGCTTGAGCTCTTGGTGAGATGTTTCTGAAGAAAAACATGCACCCTTCTTGGTTGGAAAGGACATCGATGCGATGTCTATCCATGTCTTTCCCAAAGGTGAGCTCGTGGATCCTCGTGGGTTGCAGAAGGAACTCATGCTCTGACCCTCGTCATCTACAATGAGCTGTCGTTTTGATTGAAGTGTACCACTTGTGAATGATGACTCGGAAACAATTTGGAGCAGGTTTGGAATGGATCAATGGATCCAAAACAAAATCAGCCCTGAATGGCTTTGGCATAGACCACCCCCCCCAAGGGCCTGTGTCCCATTTTTATCGTGGGGTGCGCTCCTTGGAAAGTTGGGGATCACCAGAACACGAATGGATACTGCAGATACCTTCAGCAATCCCAAGTTCTGACGATGTCTCAAACTCAGGACGTGTTCCCCCAAAAAAGACAAAAAAGACTCCATGGCTGTGGTGTTTGGGATTCAGTTTGCCAGCCCCTCCCGCCCCTCTGCCCGTCCCAGGCACGTCGGGCTCGTCCGGCTCGCCACTCATGGCTGCGGGCTTGGACACCCCTCTGAGCCGTGAAGCGGCCACGTGAAAGGTGGACTAACCCCGGGTCCTGCCGTCTCTCCATCCATGGGTGCGACCATCTTGGGCTCAGTGACTGTGTAGGGTTTGTCCCTTGTTTGAGGTCAAGAAGCTTGCTTGACATCGTCTTATCGCCCTTCTCAGTTTTAAAAAATGTCTTGGGTGACATGGCTCACATGCAGAAGTGGGGAGGATCCTCGTTATGGAACCTGGCTATGAGCTTACTGCTGGTTTGATCATTTCGCTTGCCCGGCCAGTCTCTTGTCAGTTGATAGAGGGAGACTATTGAAATGAGGTAAGTGTGCGTATCCCATACAACCAGGTTTGTCAGGACACGCTGGCAAATGGGGGCCACACAGTTTGCCCTTGGGAGGTTCTGGCAAAACACTGCGCTGGCTCCCTTTGTTTACCTTGCACTAAAGGAGCCAGCTACTTGGCCAAAAACATCCTGTTAGAATTGAAACATCCTCACATCCTCACGTGCTCCACAGCTTACTTGGCTCTCACATGAGGTCGTCTTCGTTGGCGTTTCTCACACAACTAAATGTGTCTTCGTCCTTCCGACATACAACCATCTACAACCCAAAAGCTTTTCAACCCATCGTAAACAGGCAAATGCACCACTACCCAGTTTATAGTGAAATGCTCTTCAAGGGGCTGTTCCTCTTAAATTGCTGCATAATCAAGGATGCCTGGGGCAGCCACCTTAAACTTCCTCCCAAAGCAATTATGCCGGAATTTTGTCAAGGTCCATCTCATCATATCTCGTCCAATACATCAAATCCGGAAGGTAGGTCTACTTTGTACAACAGCAGCTCATACCCACAAGCAAGAAGAAAAACACCCCGTTGCCAAGAATCTCAGAGAAGAACATGATAAATAACCTCCACTTCAGTTGGAAGTCACCAAAAAAATGAATGCAAAGCCACCTCCCTAAGCATCTTCAAATCATCCCTAAGCCCAGCCCAAGGCATGGCTAAACCTCAACCGCTCCACTGTCCACTTGGCGCCGGGAAATAGGTCGGTCGCCTGACTATGACGGGGAAGGCAAAACCACGAAAGGGGGGGGTTGGGTCAGGACGTTGTGAACCCTCAACCTGAACCCTTGGTCTATTTAGATACGCTACAAAAGGGTTAACCAAACTTGCGATAGAAATAGACATAGACATACTTAAGTTCTCTCGGCATAGTTGCTGGTTCGCTTCGTCTGAGGGATGGTCAGAGTGGTTCCTCACTTGTGCAAGACATGAAGGAGACACTACGAGGCAACCACTCGGTTAGGAGCATGAATCACGCCGCACATACTCATCAATCCCTTTTACTGAGCCAATACCGGCCAATACTATCGCCTATGTCATATTCATCTAACAACTAATAGCCCTTTACCATCTTGACGCTTGACATGACTTTTCAATTGCAGGTAGTACTTAAGCAGTAAACAAACCCAATTAATTAGCTCCCCTTTGCCGGTTTGAGAAGAGGCTTTCAGGGAATGCGAGAACCGGAGCCTTCACCCAGGAGGCGCAGTTCCTGCACGCGGCGAGGAGCAACGAAGAAACAAAATTGTCTTTGCGATGGCCCCTGAGTACGAATATGGAATTCATAAGCGGGACTCTGCTTGGAGATTTGAGGTCCGTTTGTTTGAATCGCCTTTTTTTTGAGAGGCCCTAATTTCGGAAATTGAAGCCGAAACATCGTCCGACTCTCAAAATTCAAAACGCCCAGTTGAATCCTCCAGGTCAAAGCAGGGTCCGCCCGTCCTCCTCTAGAGTGGCCATGGCATTCGCTCAGTCCGATGATGTCTAATCGTTTCGAGTCTGTCCCTAACCTAGCCTGTAGAGGATGGGAGATGGGTGAATCATGTGATATCATTCTGCATGACTTCTCTTTCAACTGTGGACAAACATCTGTAATATAACTTTCTTTCGCAACTCCAACCTCCGATCTAAGATCCAAAATAGAAAGGACGAGCTCACTTGGCCACTGGATTGAAGCAGTCATGACCAGCGTTCTGATGACTTGTCTTCATCTAAACTGCATTTTTGGAGCAAGGAAACAGCTCTTGAAGCAGCCATAGTGATCCGCACTTGGTAAATGGCCCGCCAAACAAGAACGGTCAGAAAAAAAGAAACACCTGCGCCCCATTGACTTGGAAACAAGCAGCCTCTTCCTTTACACCGCAAACGTGGGGCGTTTCCTCGGATGCAACATGTCCACTTCGGAGCTGGTGCTTTCGAACCAAGTCCCTGAGAGACGCTGTCTTTCGAGCAAGGAAGACACTGTCTGGTTCAGACCTTTGGACAAGAAAAACGTTCTGCCAAAATGACATCCAACGCTTCGATAATGTTACATAAGTGTCAGTGTACGACAGAAATACATGCTTGCGACAGGATGCTGTTTGTTGCCCGGACATGCCGGAACTATCTACATTCATTAGTCTTGATGGCTTTTGGGGAGGCCCTTGAGCCATCAGCCTCCCTTGCTTGTTGTTCTTTCCGCATGTCCTCCAAGGAAATCGAAGCCGTAGATGACATGTAGGAAGCATTCTCTGTCAGAATGATGTGTTCATCAGTCCTGATCAACTTGTTTTGCTGAAGTGAGGCCTGTTCTGTCAACGAAAGCGCTTCCATCTTAGCGACCGAAAATTCTGAAGCGCTTGTGTAGACACTGGTGTCTTCACAGCTGCAACGGCTTAATCTTCAGGCACGCAAGTACCATGCTGACCAATGCCAAACAAACAATCAGCAGTGTGAAGGGAGTGTGCGTACAATTGCCCCGTCCCGCATTGGTGCGTCTGGATTTGGCTTCTGATTTAAGTCGACATGCCAGTTCTTGCACTGCCAGTACCCAATCTCCTTGCAGGTGGGCCGGAATGAGAGTGGCACGATACCTTCAATACTTGTCTTTTTGGTCATCAAATCCATCCATTTTAAATTTTGGCGTGTCTGCGACTGGCTGCGACTGGCTTCTCACGTGATGCCCAGGGCGACAGTCTGTGGATGCGTCGTTGTTTTGGGCGTCGCTTGGGCGACGGCACCGATGCAAACCGAGAGGATTGTTGAGCAAAGGAGAGGACTGCTATGGACTGCTTCACTTCACCTACAACCGCTATGGACTGCTTCGGCTTGGACATGCTTGGACCAAACCCGTTACTCAAAGACGGAATACACGATAAAGCTTAAAGGTCCTCACATATTATCAGATCATTCCTGTAGCAGCCACGACAAACAGTTTTGCCCCCAGCACATCTCAACCGTGTTGGCGCCAAGGAAAGACCTTCTCCACGTTGCCCTGGCAGGGGCGTCGAGAGGATTTTGAACTAGAATTGGCATGCTTTCGTGTTGGATAACAGGATTTCACTCGATTTAAGGCTCCCTTTCCGATGTGCGAATGCTTCTATCTGCACACATAATGGAAGGGCAAACGAGGCAGTACAAAAGACCTCCCCTGTGTCAAGATCATCTGTCTGTACACTGTACACGCATCGCATCCGCATGATGAGCAGTTAAAACCTCTCAGCAAAAGCCAGCTCCATCTGGCATCATGTCAGCTCAGCTAGGTGCTGCCAAAGCTTCTCCGTTCACATATTCCTGGAACTGGGTAGTTTCAGTGAAGCCTAAGCGCTTGTATATCCCCATGACCGAGCACTTAGCAGCGTCAGCCGCTATCACCACAGCTGTACGCTCGAGGCCGTGCGCTGCCACTGGAGTCAACAAGTATCGACACGCGTACCAACAGACGAGCTGTCCATATCCACGACCTCGAAAATCTGGAGAAGTGAACACCCCCGTGACACGCATGGTATTGGCCGTTGCCCCTCCATAACCGGCAAAGCTCACAAATTCGTCGCCCGTGAAGAGCAAAAACATGCCACGCGCTTCGGCTGGCAACCTGGCAAGTTCAGACAATTGGTTCTCCACCACATGGTCCTGTGCGCACCCCATGGCATCCACCTGGAACTGATGAAGCCACTTGCGTATCCACCCAGCATCTCTTTCAGGTTCATACGGCCGTACTGCCAAGCTGGGGTCATCCTCCATTCTTAACCGTGGTTCCAGTAAGGCCTCCGGACTCAGGCGGTAGAACTGCATGCGATGCCCAGGCGTCAACGACCCTGCCCGTTCCGGCGACGCACGCCGGAGCTGCTCCACCAAGAAGGTCACCCGTTCCGGATGCCCCACCAGCTTCACCGGGAAGAGCTTCTTCTCGCCCAGCACGTGTTCCACATAGTGTGCCAAACACCGGAGCGCTCCCTGCACGTCTTCCTCCGATGACTCGGGTGCCGGTAGAGAGAGCACCAGGGGAAATGGATGAACCATGCTGGCCACCAGTACAGCAGATGACTTCGATCCATGAAGAGCCAACAACTGAGGTGTGACCTGGTAAAAGTGCATGTCCTTCTGCAAGTTGCCCAGCACACCGAGCATCACGCTATGCTCTGCTTCTCGACCTGCAAATATGCCTTCGGCGTCTCGCATGAACTCGTCCACCGCCGTGTGGCACTGGACTGTGGCACTGGACTTGTCCGCCATGGTGGGGCTCTACAAAGACTTCTTCAGATTAGCAACTGAAAACGACTTCTTCCATGCTTGAGAAATGCGGAGTGCAACGGTTCTAAGGGATACCGGGTAAGGCCCGGTAAGGCATTTCTGAAACAAGAAGTCCCATGAAGAAAGTCACCCAGCCTCCGGCTTTCTCTGAAAGCAAAAAGCGAACAGCTCAAAAAAAAGTCAGCATCATGGCGTGTTTCGGGAGGCCTCCTCCAAAAGTATGACCCTAAAAAGCCTCTACGTTGCCGTACCGGAAATAGCAATTTGGGAGGATCAGCCTCTGGAATTGGTATTTGAACGCAACACTTTCAAGACATGATCTTCCTGTTTGTATAAAAACCTTCACATAGTTAGATCACATCTTCTGCTACGCTCACCACAACACCACTACCACGACAAATTCGCCTCAATCACAGGCTCAAAGCATCATGGCGCATCGTGGCGCAGCTCGCAACTGCCCTGATGGATCAACGAGGAAGGTCTGGGCTTACTCTGACTAATTCTCCCCTGAACATCCGATCATGGATCGCCGTCACTCACGGATCGCTGTCACTCACGGACTCACTTCCAACTTGAGGGAAGGCCTAGATCCCTGGCCACAGGTCTCTAGAGGTTCTTCTCCCGGCAGCATGTTCATGGCATGGTTCGTGGCTGAAGAGGCTGCCATTTGGAAGCGAGGTGCGGCACCTCCCTAGCCCAAACACCACTCACACGGCGCAAACAAGGCACCTTCGGACGCAGCTTTCTACCGGATCTGCGGTTGCTTGCGCACAAAGCGCCCAATCCGCTGCATGATGGCCTCCCCACATGGGCTCAGTCATGCGCCAGAGCTCGCCAGTCAGTGGAACCCACCCAGCTGGTCCATCCGAGTGGTACAGCAAACCAGGAAATCGATTGGACTTAAAAGGATCATTTGCCAGGTGATTTTGACAAGACTCCACAGCACCGCACTGTTCACTCCGCGCGCCGTGAAGGCGTCCGGCTGAGATCCATCCCACTGGAAGGTCATGAACTGCCGCGCGCGCCGCAGCAAGGCTTGGCGACGGGCGATCTCCTGGGTGGATCGGCTGACGGCCAGGCATGGCGGTGCCGAAGGATCACAGCTGCTGCGACCAGGCGGTGAGCGACAATGAAGTGCGACATCCGGGAAATGACCGGTGCGGTAGGTTCTTGGCAGATCGTTATAGTGAATATGTTAATTAGTTGGCAGGTCTGAGTCTGAGTCCTAAACCATACTTCTAGCCGTGATGTTACAATGAAAAGCGTGTGTTCTTTGAGCGCTTCACACCACCAAAAGCATTCACAGGGGGGTGGAACACCCCCACCAGCTCAGTTTGATCGTCTTCTTGTCATCCGAAAGAACCAGCCCAAAGAATCACATCAAAGCTCGCTTTGACCCGTGATAATTCACATATCTTCCACACATCTTCGCCATCTCGTCGCCCAAAAAACAAGCGAACATGATGGCGACGATCTGATGATTCTGATTCCCTGACGCTTCCAACTCCGTGTCCACCACTTTCCGCCCCAACCAACACCGCTCCTCGAGCGTCATCCGCTGCAGCCGTTGCACCAGGTGCTCCGCCGCGGCTGCGTAGTCTTCGCAGGGCACCACGACCACCTTGGGGCAAGGCACGCCGCCGACGTCCAGCGGAGTCTGCAGACAACGGGTTCGGTTCGGGTATTTCGGGTGGGGTTTGGACCTGAGTTGAGATATTGGGTCGGTTGGCTTCAAGAAATGATTCTGCATCTCCATGGATCTCCACTTCGGATCCTTCGCTTCGGAGCAGTTTTGTGGCAGGCAGGGGTTCACCTAGGGTGACCAGCAGCAATCGCCTCAACCCAGCAGTTACACAGTTACACTAGCCGGTCTTTGCAATGAAGATCCATTGACATTTGACAGAATTAAGATGAACAAGCCAAGATATGAAGATCCATGGATCAACCCACGCCTAAGATCCAGCTTCACCTTGGTTGCATGCCCTTCTGGCCAGTCTGGTAAGGATGGCTCGGGCCCGAACCATGTCTCCATAAGGGATGTCCTCATCAGCACAAAAGGTTACTGTATATGTTCTAATCTAAGCAATCGGTAATCATCCAGACTGAAACATGCTCACATCAAATACTGTTCACACCATCAACCATCGTGGCACAAGAACTCTTCGTCTTCATTGAACATGTTGAACTTGTCTCCACGGAGATCATAGAGCCAATATGAGCCAACCAGGATAAACAGGAGTCGGATGATCGCGACTGCTTTCTGTGTCCACAGGACAACCCTTACTTTAGTCGCGTGGCTGGTCCTCAGGGAACGGCACGGAGTACTGGTAGGGAGAGCCATACTCGCGCCACCAACTCCTTCAAACTTCAATTCCACAGTCCGAACACCAAGCGAGCACCACAGTTTTTTGTTAGGCTGTTTATGGCGAGTCCAAAAACTTTTATGAACCTTTACATCGAAGGAAAGCTGCAACGGGTCGACCCAATGTCTTCTTCTGCATCTTAAAAGCTCAGCTTTCTTATCCAATGGTGATCCCGTGGCTTGATGGTGACCCATTGGATGGTCCTCTGTCCCGGGAAGTAGGAAACGAAGTCGAAGAGCACCGGAATGCATCCCGCCAAGATGGCCTCAGCTGCGGCAGGAAAAGTGCAGGCTCAGCACAAGCAAAACCACCCCTGCAGTGTGGACATGTCATGCCCCATCGGCGGATGTGGCAGGCGCCCCTGGTGAAGCCCAACTCAGGCCCCTGTCGTGCCAAGTGGCATGGTAGAACTTGTGCCTCCGCCAGCGAAGGGATGAGGCACAAATGTCTTCCAGTCACGGAATCGATAGTCTTAACACTTAGGGTCCTTCAGACAGAACACACAGTCACTTCATGGCCGTAAACCCGCTTCGATTGGCTGTGGCTGTGGAGGTAGAAAAATACATAACACAAGAAAAAAACACTTGCAACTGGAGTCAACCCCCCGAAGGCACCTCTAAATTGACAATCATGGACCTTAACAATCCTCATGGTATCAACACCTGAGTATCCTGAGAGCACCTCTCACCACACCTCACCACACCGCACATGGACGTTCTCCCCACTCCGCAGTTCGGAGCTCCGGTTCGACCGCACCTGTGAGGAGTATCCCCCGGCCCCATGGGGCAGAAGATGCTGCGGCGCATCGCATCATTGAACGAGGCCTGGTCTGCCTCGCCGGTCGCGCGCGTGCGCCGGGTTGATCACACGGGTGTTGAAAAAACGGCTTCAGCACGGCTGTTTGCTGGTGCCGCCTGAAACAGGTCTTCAAAAAGGAGAAGTCGCCAGCCATCCCCAACTTCCGCAACCTGTAATCTTCCAAATCCTAGGATAGAACCCCGAAGCCGCGAAGCCCCGCTCGAAACAAAATTCGTCCCCATACAACCTGCAAAAGAATTTATCAATGAATTTAAAGTTTCACCTGTTGAAAGGTCAATCACACACATCCGTCATGGCCACATCATCTGTGAGAAATCCATAGAAACCGTCATCCTCCAAGTGGTGGATCCCCCGACTGCCGGTGGTCCCGCCACATCGCATCACCTCAACAGGTTCGACCGCACCTGCGAAAGCCCATGGGTCTGCCGTGAGGGCTCCTGAGGTCTGCCGTGGCTCAAGCCAAACAGACCGCGTAGACGATTTGTGCAATTGAGCTCTCAAGAAACAGGCTTCGTCCTTCTCAAAGAGAATGTGAAAATCACAGAACCCTTGATCCAATCTGACAACGTAGTTGGATGCCCATTAGAGTGTACCAAGTTCAAAGAGGACATGGGGCGGCTCCTTCATACGTCAATCCAGCAACTCTCACCATTCCAACGCATGAATACATCTCAAAACAGCGTGGCCTCGCTTCATGCTTGTGGGGTTCCATTGATTCCAAGCCGAACTGACTCACGAACTATTGAAGTGGACGGTGGCCCCTGCGAAGGCTGCTCTTTTCCACTACACACACGGCACACGAAAAGCGCCGCAGCGGCTCCGTCGCATCACTGGGCTTGGACCGGCTGCGCGGCTGCAGCAAACACCGGCGCTGGACGCGTGTGCTCCCTGCCGCGGGAGCAGCGCGGTCGCAGAAGCGCTCCAGGCTGTCCTTACAGAGTGATTCTGATTGTTCCAAAGGATTCTGAGAGAGGTACACTGTAGGCATTGGTTCGTCTGTCAAAAGCAGGACTATTGCTGCTTTGATGATGGCAGTTAGTACTTCGCTGGCCATGACCAACAGCATTGCATTACAACCATTGACAACCCCTGTCAAAAGGGATGGCAGCCTCAACCATAGTATTGAATCCTTTCAAAACTGCACAAACTACAGGTAACTCCTCCATTTCCATCCAGTCACACCTCTGGTTTTCTTAGAATTGCCGAGAATCATAGAGGAACTTCCGCACCGGGTGGCAACAGCCGATGCTCTCCTCAGACCCGCCGATGTCTGCGGAAGCTCCACCCGCCGAAATCCGAAAACGTCATGAGGAAAAGTGTTTAGTCCACAAAGTCACAAAGTCTGCATGTGGTGTTTGGATGTGTTTGGATGTAAAACTGAAGACATCTGAAGACGTAACATCCCCAAGTGGACCATTCTGGCTTTGGGGGGCATACTGCTGGGTGGCTTTCATTGATCAGCTCACCTTGAGCTATGTACGAGTATGCTCAAGGCTCAAGGGTATGTTGAAGTGTTCCAAATGGCAGAGTATCCTACCCAAACACTCCATGTTTGCTGACTTGAGTGGTTCCGACTTCTGGTGTTTTGTGTAGTATTTATGTTATTTGATATGTCAGGTGAGCCGTACATCGAAGTGAACCGGCCGTACATCCACACAGCCGCAAACAGTTTGCTTGCCGCAGCGCCCAAGGCACATACAGACACAATACTGCTTGCAAGACCATATCACGACCTCATCCTCATCTGGGCTTCCAGGCTGAGTAAATCAGGAAGATATCCTTCTCCATCAACACCTCTCAAACAGACTGCAGTCCTTAGGACTGGGTGTCCAATCCAGAATCTCATGTCTGAATCTTCCTTCCTTTTCCGGAGATTAATTTCTACTGCAACGAGAATATTGCACAATTCGATCCTTGCCTCATTGTTCCTCCATGTGCCCATGGTTGTTCCATCTACTTCGTTCCATCTACTTCAGGGCTCTTCTTGACCAATCGGTCACTTGGCCTCAGCGGAAGGCTGCAGATTTGGATCCGTCAGGAGGGAGGGCCTCGGACCAGCCGACTCTCCGGCAATGGAATAGTATCCCACCCATCGGAATGACCCTCAAAGCCTGTGCAACTTGCAAGTGGGGATCCAATACACAGCACAAGCATCCTGAACCACGATGGAATGCCTTGGATCGGGGATTCCGGATCAGTAACTCGCACGGCACCAAGGACGCCGCATGGTGATGTGCGTAGGGCTGGCCATCTCGGTGCCGAAGGAGATGAAGATCGTGTCCTCGTCACTGGGGGTCCCTTGACTCGCTCTCGCGACCGTCTTCCAAGCTTCCAAACGGTATTGGGCCAAAGACAGTATAGGGTGACCTCATCCTCATCCTGTCTCTTTCGACGTCCCCCCCCGGTTCGACCCTTCACGAACGCCTTGGAACGGTGCTCGTCGACACGGGACGACGCGTGCTTCGGCGCCGCATCGCTTCTCCGTGGACATGGCGTAGATCGAGAGCAGGCCCCCCACGTCGTGTTCCCTTGCGAAACGGACGCAGCCACAGCCCGTTCTCGTGCTGTAGCAAAGGAATCGTGAGAGGTCCCGCGAGGTCCGGGGGAACAAGGCATGGGGTGCACTCGAATGATGAAGTCTTTTTCGTTCATCTAACCTATCTGAGCATATCTTGAGGACCACTGGGACAAACTGATAAAGCCAAAGCCTTCGGAACAGCTCTGAACGTTCGACTCGTTCGACTCAAGGCGCCCCGTGTGCCTCATGTTCATCCTGGGCAGTGTGGAGTGTCTTCGGGAAATGTCGGGCAGTGGAGTGAGTTCTGGAGCCCGGTCAACGCTGATGGAAACATCCTTCTTGGCAGCAGTCTGCTTTTTGTTGCTCTCTCCAAGAACCAAGAGGTGTTCCTCAAATCTGGATACAACTCCATAATTAATGGAAGATGAAACATCAAGCTCATTCCAAAAAGAAACATGGGTCAAATATGGTCAAATATTCTTTCCAGCAAAACAAACGGTTCCTGCAATCACATTGCTCTGCTCAAAGCTGCCTTCGGTCTGGTTTGCTAAACGTTTTTCTGCTGAGGATCATGTGATCCGCATAGGGAAAGACGTGAATGCCATACTTCTGAGGCCACTCCATGTGCTTCAGGTACCTGGATGCGAGCGGAATTGAACCGAAGCTAATTAGATCATGTTGTTTCTCACCTTTTAAGCAGTCACCGGCTAGACATGCCCCCTTTTTGTTCCCTTTTTGGTGGCGGTTGTCCACATGTGTTCACTTACTTGTAGGATGTACATCCCCAATATTCCCCCGAACCCCCACAGCTGCTGTTCCCAAACGCTATACCATCGCCTCGCCCCCGATTCATCGCCCGTGGGCGCACTTCAGAAGCTCCCGGGGGCAGCCGCGCGCCGCCTGAGCAAGGCCACACTGAGAGTGCACTGTCACTAGTGTCCGTTGTGGTTGAAAAGGTGTGTAGGCCCTGGAAAGTCAAAGACTTCTTTTTTGATCGGTCTTAAAAGGTGATCCGAAAAGGAACTTCCTTCACTTGGGTGGTGCCGAAAATAGTCTTTGGACGTCTAGGGTAAGTATACTACACTGTGTACTTTTGTGGTGTCCACATTGTGTTGAACCACCGAAAACCTGTGTCACATCCACGCTGGCCTGCTTGAAGATCCACCAGTTGCTCAGGAATTGCGACCTCAGTGCGGCCACAGCCCAACCGACCAGCCAGAAAACATCGTCTTTTCGTTCACTTCTGAAGCCTTTCTTCAAGGTTGATCAAATCTTCAAAATGAGAGGCATCGGGAATGCCAAAAGAGAGAAAAAGGCATGAAAAGGCCACGAAGTCCGAAGAGCACGCGGCCATCACCAAAAGCGCCACGGGCCGCCTTTACGGTGAGAGGTATCCGCCGTCGAGCTGGCTGGTCACTCCAGGGCTCCAGGCAAAAGTGGCACGAGGATGAGGTCCTAAGGCTTCCCAGTCTAACGGTAAGGCACTTGTTCCTAGTAGTAAGGCACTTGTTTCTAATAGCAAACATTGTTACTACTAGTAAGGCACTTGTTACTACTAGCGTGGCACTTGTTCCTAGTAGCAAATTTGTGCAGAGTTTCCCCAGTCTAACGGTTTGGAAGAATCCCATCTGAGGCGGAGCAGGCAAGATTTCTCGCAACCATCGCCCCGCAAAAATATCCGTCAAGGGGGCAACGTCCACCAGTTTTTTTTTCACCCCCATTCACATCCATTCACGCCATTTCTACATACTTCTACAGTAGACGACCACCACATCTGGGCTCGTAGCATGGGTGGTCCCTCGAAGTTGGATCCGTTCACCTTCGAAAAAAAAAGACTTGTTCGATCCGCTGGAAGAGAAGGAGATGCATCCCTCTGCACCTCAGTGCAAGACATCACCGCAGGCCTTACTATAGGCGTATGCCAAAAAAGCAGCATGGACATCGCCCACAGAATCCACAGATCCAGTCCTCACACCCATCCACGCCCACCTCATCATCACTCCAGGCCAACCCACACCACACTCCATCGGAGTGGCAAGGCACCGCCTCTGAGGCATTGGTCACCAGGACCTCCGGCGGTGCCGTGAGGAACTTCTGCAGCAAAGCCACTTCGCCTCGACCAGCTTCGGAGTTCGACCGCTGAGCAAGCTTTTGGGGCGAAGTTCGAGGCAGCCAACATCGGGCAAAGGATACACGCGTTCAAAAACTAGACTCCAGACTCTCTGGACCTTGGTCTTCAACTCTTTCATGGTATAATCACTAAACAAATCATAAATGAATCTAAGATACAATCTCTCTTTTCATGGTAAAATTTACCGAAGAATATTTACGTCTACATGAACAACCAGTGACGTCTCTGAACTCGTTCATTGCACCTATGTACTGTCGCCAGGTGGACCAACTGCCATCCCAGCGATCTTCACTGCCTCAGCTTGGTCTGAACGTGCCGTGTCCACCATCGAGTGGAGGATCCCACACCGCTGAAGCGCTGCTGGTGTTTTCTGTGTGGCTTGGCTGAAGCACCATGATGCACCCACTTTCTGAAATCCTTGTTTTTCAGAAACCTAGGGACCTAGGGCAAAAAGAAACATCCAAAGACTCCCAAGCACAGGTTGCTGGAAACGTTCTTGACACCATCAGGTCAGTCAGCGCACACGTGGCTCCATGCGGGTTGGATGCCACCGCAACCGTTGTTACGTCCGCCATCCTCTTCCATCCTCTGCCCGTCTATGAGATCCAATATGGTCGCATATGGAACCATTTGGATCCCAGCAGGAGTTAAAGAGCTGACCCCAAATCAACAGGGCCAAATTTGGAGGCGCCTGATCGTCTTCTCAAGCCGAAAAACCAGCGCATCTGCCACTTTTCGGGGCCGAGGAGCAAAGAAAAATGCCAGCATCGCAGGTGTAGTTGTAGGCCAAGCGCACTAGACTGGCCACGACCAAGCCTGGTCGTAAACGTGACGCCGGTCCCAGTGGTGGAGCCTATGAGTTGGTGGAGACTGGCGTGGTGAATTTTGTGCTTCTTGGGAGGAGCAAATGGTCAGAAACCGGAAAATTCCAGCAACACGCACTTTGAAAGCCCATCGCAAAAAGGAAGGGTCAACACATATATCAACATAACAATGTCAACTTGAGCCCTTAACTTAGCGTCCAAAAAACCAGTCAAAAGGTAAAAGCCACCCCAAACCGCTTTGGGTTCCCCGAACCTTCCCGTCCAACTTGCGACCCAAGGAGCGGTCGGCATTCACCAAGCTGGGCAACCTCGTGTTCCGACGGCGGCCCTTTTTTGGGGGAACACGTTGTTTTACATGATTCATGCTGCCATGCTTTGGTACGCGCCAGAAGCCTAGCGGCCTTAGCGGCCTTAGCGGTTTGGGTTGAAAAGAGATGTTTTTCCGGAGAAGTCGACCAACCGTTTGGTTTCCGGGCACTGCCAGCCGAGCCTTGAGTGACACATCGTCTAAGCGAGGGACGGCTGGATGTAGATCTTCAAGCCCTCCGCAAAGCCGGTGAAGTCCTGGCGATTAGCGAGGGCATGAGGGATGGGGAGAGGCAACCAGACGTGGCGAGGTACAGAGGTCATTTGCCTTGAAAGAGATGCAAATTGAAAGCAGAAGATGTTGAATGAGAAGAAATAGACTGCTAAATCCATTGGTCCTTCACTATACTAATGCTACATGTTCATACATCTTCACGATATGTTGTGTTCAAACCGGAAATTGCCACTGAGTACTATGCCACTGTCATTTCTGTCGGCTCCATCGCGGCTCCCGCCTCGGGTCGCGAGACCACGCTGGGACTGCAGAGAACTCGCCCAAAGATCTGGTGCCAAAGGGCGCCTCGCGGAATGCGAGTCACAGTCGAACAAGGACGTGAAAAACGCAGCGATAGGAGTGGAGTGAAAATGCATTCTTCCTTGGTCTTCGAGTGCTTGCTTCCTTAGATAGTTCATGTGCGAAAAGACTTGACGTAGAAAGGTGGTGAGTGATAATCAGGCATGTCCATTTGTTGAAAGCAGTTCCCTGTGATATGATTGATACCACTGATACCTCACTGGGGTGGACTTCAAGAAAGAGTTCTACTGGTCGGTCAGTGGGAGGACAAATGACGAAGCTTGAAGCGAATTGTGGAATCTGTTAAACGCATCTGTTCAGACATGGCAACAGCCGGCCTCTTTGTCATCTAGTGTTTGCCGGGGGCATGCGAAAAGCTCAATCCCTGACATGCCATTGTTCAACCACAAGTCTTTAGCGCTTCTTCTGCGTGCAGGTATGACGTCTGTGATCTTGGATAGGCAAACTCACTCTACAGCTGCGTTGCCCGGCCCACGTACCCCCCCGCAACTGTGTCTGGCATGTGTTTTTCTTCTCAGGAAGATTTCCCTCAAGTCTCTGCTTTAAAGAGAAAATAGACAAAAACGGATCCTGTGTGACTTCAAACTGAATCTTACACAACTGAGGTGCCCAGCGGGTATCCGTGGGCCCCACTGCAGCGCGGTGGCAGTGTTGCGTGAAGCCCTCCACATCCTCCTGGATTGGGGCGCGCACGCGCCCAATAATTACACCACGGCTTCATCGAAGACAGGTGTGGATTCAAGTGGATTCGACAACGAGAGTGGAACGGGGTGTGGTTGAATTCCGAAACCTTCCGAAACCCGGAAGTAGAAGTTGTTTGTGGGTGTTGTTTGGCAGTGGGTCAAGACCAGAATCCCTGGATTGACCAAACTACTTGGTGAAGGTCGCTGGCTACATGGTGGTGTCGAGGCTTCAGGTTTTGATCAATCCCCATTCAGGAATCTTCGTGTATTCCATGCCTTTTGAAGAGTAGCCGATCCTTGCCCAACCCAACCACGGCATCGGCCTCAGGATAGGGCTCCCCATCAGGATCAAAAGGGGTCCACCTGCGCAAAGGCCATACAAAAATGATTCAAAAGAGCAGTGATCGTGATAGATGCATGTGTTATGTAATATTATTATCATATACATTACATGTGACAATTGTACAGTAGAACTCTATGATTTGTGTGCGAAGGATCCAGAAAAAATCAGAGAAGCCGAGAGAAGGATGCTGAATCACGGGAGAGAATGGTTTCACAATGAAATCGCTGCGGAAACAGTTTCTGAAAATACTCCAATCATTATATATGTGTCTGAACCCTATAAGCCACTAACCAGCCATTCAGAAACCAATCAGGACATCCATGATCCGCAGTGGCGCTCTCTGCGCTGGCCGGCTCGCGGCACCTTGCGAGCTGTCGGTGCACTCGAGGTTGCTCAAAGAGCCCGGGCTGGAGCTCCTGCAGCTGTTGCACGCGTATGGTTGACCCCACAGAGAAACATGGCAAAAATATGGGAGAAAAGTGGGTAGAAAGAGATGTCCTTGCAGCTTCTCAAGCAGTCTTTACCACTCTTCCAAAATAGTAATTTGAACAAACGCACACTTATCCTCTCCCACTTGCCTCTCAGTCTCCACCACAGTCCAGCACCCCACCAAGTCCCACACCTGCAGAAGGACCTCCACCACCACCAGCCGCTGGAAAGCCTCGGCCTCGGCCACACCTTCCGCCCCGCTGGTCGCCGCATCGCTGGATGCGTCCCGCTCCAGCAGCCGCACCGCCAGCAGCGCCGACTCCTCCGCGCGTGCCGGTGGTGGCGCCGGCGTCGGTCGAGTGGCGCCCGTTGAGTGGCCCTGGGTGGAGACCTGCCAGAAGAATCGCTGGTGTTCTTGTTCATTATGCCTCCAACCTTGTGGCGTCCTTGTTACTAGTAGCTTCTTGTTACTAGTAGCAATGGCCTCCAACCTACTAGCGATGGCCTCCAACCTAGTAGCTTCTTGTTACTAGTCTATATACTAGTCTACAGAAAAGTGGGGGGGGGAATCCTATTGAAGTGATGAATCGAATGGTGGAGCTGCGTTACTGACAGCCTGCTGAGTAAACCACCATGACCACGAGGAGAAAACCTTGTATTGATGTTTGTTGGTGTTCATTTCTTTCCACTTGCTGAACACGATTCTCATGTATGCATGCCTTTCCTGTAGACAAAGCTTTAGATCTCCGCTCCAAAAGTTCCACCAATACACACAGTCACCTCATGAGGAAATCGCCCAAGCGATCAGAAAACACCCGCAGCACCGGGCAAACCCATCTCAGATCGTGCCACTCTGAGCCCGGAGATCGCGCCTCCATTTGGCCTCAGAGGTACGGAAGTAGATCTGCTGGGATTGATGGCCATCGTTGAAATGGGATTAGATTGTTCGGAGAAAATATCCATGGGAAGTCATGAAAATAAGGGGGATCCCTGGCAAGCATCTACTCAAGTGGAAGACATGAAGAAGATTATAGCGAATATGAAAGGTGTTCACCGTCCAAGGATAGGAAGAGAAGACCTGTACGGTATCAATAGCCAAATCGATCCAAGAATCAACACGATCTGGACACCAACAGCCTTGAAGCTTCCGGTTCTTCTGCATAAGATTCTTTCTTCAAAGGTGGTGCCTACTCAAGTTCTTGCGGTCGCTTGAATCGCCCACAAACTGCGCTGTCAGAAGTCTGATGGTTTCTATGACCTATACCTCATTCGCTCCAAACCAAGCCACCCAAGACTTCCCACCCGCCCTCGCCGCCCTTCGCCCCCCCCCTTGGACTGCAGCTGGGCGGCAGGCAGGGGACATCAGCAAGAGGAACGTGGCGGAGCCGGACCTCTTCCGTCCATCCACACAGCGGTTCCCACCGTCGAAGAATCCGTGGAAAGGACCCTCGACATCTCCCGCAACCACATGAGACCTGGACCTAACCTCCAACTCCAGTGTCATGTCAAAGGAAAAAACGCCAAAAACCAAGGGGGTGGACGGGGGGGGGGGTGTGGATCGAAACGGGTTGTGGATCGAAACTAATACAAAGCAAACGGCAAACACGAACAAGAGCAGTCAGGAAAAAAACATTGCAACTGAAAGACTGTGCATATAAACATTCAATGGCATTCACACAGTTCACTCATTCTAGAGACGCAGAACTCGCGGGGTTATAGCCAGAAATATCACCATGCCGAGTAGTCATTTTGTGGCTGTCGGAGGTGAAAAAACACATGTGGGACCTCAGGGTTGACTCAGCCAAAGGTTTTCTCCTGTTTAAGCCCACCGGGTTTAGGTGTGGGGGTCAAACCCCTATAGTATATGACCACTGGTGATACCAAAAAGATTTGAATCCGTCTACATTGGAAACGTTCACTTACCAGACCTATCATCACTTGGTTGGCTACAGCTAGCTTGCAAAAAGTTAAGTCTTTTATCATTGTTTACCATGCAATTTCAGCAAACAGTTGTCAAGTTAGCTCAGCAAGCAAGGCAAAATCATGGGCCCAGGTTGTGCGAAGATGCGTCCACATGGCAAGCAGCTTTACTGACGTGGGACAAACCAACTGCGCAAACTCACGGCCATTGCAATGAAAGTTTCCAGCGCCGAAAAGTCTTATACTTATGCTTTCCTGGGCACTGGCCCCACATACGCTCATCATCGATTTCGGGCTTTGCCAAGGAGTAGTGTCTTCACTGGGAGTATCAATGCGATCTCACTTGTCATGCAAAAGGTAAAAATATTCTCATGCATCATGTCCATGTTTGGCCCCCGCCCTTCCTCTCCATGTCTCCGGTCACTTGATAGTCACTGGCTGCAATTAGCTGAGAACAAGTTCTGGTCCACCGCGCTCACGCTTGATAGATATGGGGGCGTGGAAGCTCTTCAGGTACCAGAAGCGTAAAATATGCGAACAACTCATTGACAGTGACCAGGACAACCAGTCAACAGATATCCGATATTCCGGACATCACGCAGAAGGCTTGACTGGCGCAGAACATGTTTCACAACAGTATCACCTAAACCCTGCTGGTGGTGATGAAGACTACCGACATTCCGATTGCTCTGAGATGATTGGTCCACGTTTCTGTTCATCATTTGTCAACTTTGATGATGGGTTTCACCACGCATTGCTCTCTGAATATGTCGACTTGAGGTATAGTCCGACCTACGCGGTCATCGACAGGGGCTGTACCAGAGCGATGGGTTCCAGGACCGCCATTATGCGTCTCATGAAGGCATGTAGGAGAGACTACAATTCAACCAAGATTGATTTCTGCTTCGAGCCTTCATCAAGTCAATTCTCATTTGCTAATGGTGAGCAATCCAATGTTCGTGAGAAGCTTGTGATCTACTTCCAGAATGACCAAGCACCCACTGGGTGGATTTCTACTGCAATTGACATCCTTGACCAGGGAGACGTTCTGTTCAGTGTGGAACAACTACGCAATCTCCGCATGTCAATCGAACATACTCCAGTCGGCGACTATCTAACTTGTCCTTTGTTCGGCTTGAAACGTTTTTTCGTTGCCGGTGAGCAGTTCTAACCATAATGTCTGAGACATCATGATGTTTGCCAGCTCAGTTCGAAAGCCGAATCATAGCTTTACAGCAATCAATCCTTCGCTTGCATCCTGTCCAGCCTGCAATGGCAAGCATCGAACACATACGTACAAAGATTGATGCAAGAAGGCAGACACATCTGAAGTCAAGAAAGACAAGTCAGCAGCCGATATTCCGGCAGTGAAAAAGCCGGAAAAGAAGATTGCAAGCGGAGATACTAAGATCGATCCGCCTTCGAAGCCTATTTCGATGCCTCCACCGGCCAAGAAGGTGACACCTCCGTCATTCCGGAAGACAGAAAAGTCAGGTCACCTGACTTTGGAACGCCATTCGAGCATGCAAAGATTCCGAGTTCAAGTGCAGGAGCACGTAAGCCAGATGCACATCCTGCAGAACCAGATGAGCCGGTGAAGCCAGATCCTCAGGAAGAAACCAAGGAAGACGTGAAACCTGAACCGACCACAGTTAACAGAGAGAAGAAGGCACCAAAGGTTTCAATAACATTGCCGTTAGCATTGCAGAGAATTCATGAAAAGCTGCCTCATCCTACAGAACTTTTGAAACTGCATTTGAAGCATTATCACATGTCAACTGAGCGGTTCAAGAAACGCACATCAACCTTGAAAATTCCGGCAAAGATTTATGAAGAATATGACCAGGTAGTCAAACAGTGTGATACATGTCAGAAGTCCCAGATAGCACCATCACGATCAAGAATTTCCGGTATGAGAAGCGAAACGTTCGGCGAAGCAAGCCCTGGAAGGCAGAGCGTAGCTGATATCAGGAAGAGATTGGAACATTTGGAGCCTATGGATCCATGACCTCCTTAAATCCGTAGCTGTTTTAGAGCTCCGCGGCCAGAATTTTCTCTGTGAAGCGTCCTGCCAGTTTGGGCCATGCCAGTTTGGTCCTAAGCGCAGACATTTTGTTTTTCCCCGGATAGCTTCAGCCAGTAGGGCCGCTTTGTATCCCTTCATGTCTCCCACTGAGGCTCAAGACCAAAGAGCTCTTGGAGATCGGGCGAGGGGGTTCTTGGAATGGCTGCAGCAGAGGCAGGCGCACCAAGTTTGCCTTTGAAAAACGCAGCAGAAAAAATCAAAACACACTTCGTAACACGGGGCGTCACTGCCTCGACGCTCTCTCTCACAAACCCTTTTCTGTTTATTCGACCGTGACAGCGATTGCCCTCGCAGTGAAGCACTGGAATCTTTTGATTGGAAAGGTTTTGGTCAGCCCAAACTCGCCTTTAAACAAAGACTAGGGAAGGGACTTGTCCTTGGCGCTGGCCTCTGACTTGCTGTACTGCTGGCGCATCTGGTGGAAGAGTGGTTTGTTTGTCTAGCTTGGCCACAAGCTTCCCACCACCTAACCGGTCAAGCACTTGGTTGTCCATTTTGCGCTGCTCCTCCGTCCTCCCCCTTTTCATCTTCTCTCTTTTCTGCCAGGCTTCCACCACACGCTCTGGCAAGGACCCAACAGCTGCTTGAACTTTGCGCTTTGGACGGCAACGATGCTTGCGCGCCAGGCAATTTTAAATACTGGGCGCGGATGACCTAGGCTTTGATGGCTTTAGCACCTGAAGTGACATAGGCGTCGTGGCATTTTACTTAACTGGTCTAATGGGATAGAACTTGTGGAAGGTTGCGAAGGGCTCGGCTCAGCTAGGCTCTTTTTCTATGGTTCTTTTATTCAAAGGCTTGTGACCTAGGTCTTGCAAATACCCCTCAGAGGTCATTAAGTGAGCCAAGATTCACGCACTTCTGAGGACGAATCACCTTGATCCACCCAGCCAATGTAATACATAGGCTGCATCTGGGCAAACCGCGGAGTACATCGCAGTCGGCGCAAAGTCAGGTAGCGAACGAAGCTCATGTCATGGTTTCGCGTGGTCCAAAGAATGCTTCCATACAACTCAACATCTTTGCGGCAGCTTCTCAACGCGACCACTGCCTCAAGAATCCAAAGAACCAAGGCCACAGTCATGACTTTATGGCGCTTGACCAATGTGGTAGCATTGGCCAAGGGCTCTGAGACACACGTCCGGAAGAGGCTCTGACGCTAAGATACAAGGCAGCTCAGTTGGAAGCGAGTGGGTGTGAGAAGTGTGGCAACTCGGATGGGAGGGAGCACTCGAGGGATCTTGGGGCGCACGTCAACTCATCCGGAAGCAGTAAATTCATCGCACATGTGGCTACTGTCAACTGCTGCATGGTGGGAGACATATGGCATGAGTAATCTACATGTCTCTCCGCGCTTTTGGTTGGAGGTGATGTTCTCTACTCTGTAGATCTCTGTAGCGTTCATCTGTCGTTGTCGTCTTGAGCACTTGGCAAGCGTGGCTGACCGGTGACTGTCAAAGTTAGAAACTGGAGCGCTGCAGAATTCTGGAGCACCGTTCAGCTTACAAAAGCCAAATTGGCTTGGAGGTGCGTTTGAGGTGCTTGATAGGTGGAGATTCGGTGCGCTTGAGGTTCGTTTCAGGTGTTTGGAGGTTGCTGAACGTGCTGTTCACACGTCTTCCGCTACTAACTCCATCACCTGTGGGCGTATGCCAGGCGTGTATATACACGAAGCCCCCTGCACCCGTATACGCAGTCAATGATTTACACGCTTTGGTATCCGTCCGAACCCTCCTATGCTTCAGCCGAGCTGAGGTTGCCCAAACCGCGAAGCCATTCTGCAAAGTAGTGGTTTACGTGCATAGCATCTTAGCGCTTTCAAAGCGTGTGGCACTGGCCGGCTCAAACTACCTCGAACATCTGCCGTTATTTTTCTTCGAACACATCTGTGGTTCATACATTAGGGTACAGTACGCCAAACTATTTACAAATAACCTGTGGCACTATGCGGCAAAAAGTTAAAGTCCCTAACAGCCATGCTATAGCCAGCCAAGGATCACCTCCCCTAGTCTTCAAAACCTTAAGGACCAAACGAATTAGTTTGGTCCCACACTGATAGACATGGAGCCACACTCGCGTCCGACATGTCCTTCCGGCCGAAGGCACCCGGAAAGATCGTCTTCCTCCGAAGCCAGCGCCGCCGCCACGTCGATGTACTCCATCTTGGCCTTCAAAACGTTGAGCTCCGATGCACGAGCCAAGCCAACGATGACAACACCTCTTGCCCCTTGTTGTTCATATTGTTTTTGTAGAGCCAAATGGCATGTTCTACTCACAGTCTCACAGTTATGTGCAGGGGAAAAAAGGATGGTTCACAGTCTCCCCAGTCTGATCGCTTCAGATGGAGGCTTGAGACTCAGGTCGTCAGAGACATCACAGCACAACCAGTTCCGGGGCCCCCGACCACTGCCGCCCAGCAATGGGACGGATTTCGCCAGCACAGGCGGAGTCTGATGTCACGGATGGGCAAAAGAAGGACCACTGGTGGGATGAAGCGACACAGCACAATTTATACCTATATACCTATACATCCTATACTACTAGATATATATGATTATTATGACCATATTTGGATTCATATGCTTTTTAAATAGTATCTGTATCTATCTGCCTCAGGATTTGCAGCAGAGTGTTACCAGGTGGATTGCTTGATGCAAACATCTTGGTTCACCAGCAGTAGACTATATTGACCATGCAAGAGTTTAAGAAGTTGCCGACACTTCACCGGTTGCCCAGTTAAGCATCAAAATGCGGCCGATCTGTGCTCCCTCCCACAGTGCCTGGAGTCCGCGTTGGCCTGCAGCCTTGGGCTTTCCAGACCCCAAACAAAGAATTCCCCTGATTCCCCCCATCAAGGCAAAAGAGAGCCGAAGGAATAGTTCCAACCAATCAATATGAACCAAGCAGAACAAACATTAGGACCATACTGATGTCCAAGAAAGAGCTCAGGCCAGTCTCAAGGAAAAAAAAGCCCGAAAGAAGACCAACCTAATCCCGAGTACCTATTTAAAAAGCCTCCCCAATGAAAAAAACACCATGTCCGAAACCCTAAATACGGTTTATACGTGTTTCTTAATTACCGCCCTTTCAAACCGCTACTAAACTACCAACATGGTCGATTTTGGGTGGTATTTGTTTAAATTCGGTTCCAAAAACAAACCGTAACTGCCCACCTCTGTCCGCCCTGTGTATCCATCCGGTGCACGAAGATGGTGCACCCAAATCCATCCATCCGGTCCCATCCGGATGGACGTCTCGTTCGTGGACGTCACTCCAAGCAACTCATTCTGCGTCTCGAAGATGGGCGTTCCGAAGCTGTGTACCCGAAGGCCTTGTGACGCGCGATCCAAAGAGTGAGCCCCTCCCAGAAAAACGGAAGACCCCCAAAAAATATGTCAGAAAGAAAAGAAAAACGCCATGGAAGAAAACCGTTGTAAGTTGTGAGCCCATGCCGCGGTCCGTTGCGCGCGGTGCGCGGTGCGCGACCCTCCAGGTGCTCCAGGCTCGCTTGCACCAGGTCGGAGTCCAAGGACTCAAAACAGGTCGACCCCACCGCTGGAGGAAGCCCCGACCTGTGCGTAGACGACGTAGCTCGCGTGGCGCTTTCTAGCGTGCGTTGGACAGAGATCATGGCGCATATAGACGTTTTGGAGTATATATAGACTCATATAGACCTAGGTTCTAAGGGAAAGTGCTGGCACAATGGAATGGTGTGAAATCCGTAGGCGTGCAGAAAGACAAGGGCTAAGGGTGGGCAAAGAAGCTGAGTTGGCCTGAAGGCTACTCAGAGGTCAACCCACAGGTGTTCCAAGTCTTCAATTGAAAGATTTGTTGACCAAAGCCCTCAGCAAAATCTCCAATAGTATGTCTATCACTATCACACCGGACCTCATACCAATCACTCTCGGCCTCTCTGGCAGCTGCTCGAGCACTGCTTGGGCCAAGTGGAGTCCAAAAAGTCCCCGAACGCGGAGACGGCCTGAGAGCACGCGGAGACGCAGCCGCCGAAGAGTGGTTTTGGAGGGTGCTCTTCATCTGGGCCTGTGCTGTTCCGAGCACTTCAGCATTTTTCCTGCAAAATGCTCCTTCAGTGTCCAGTGTCCGATTTGATCAGATTGAAAAGGAGAAAGCAACCTCTCACCCGAAAGGTTGATGGCAAAAAGGAAGGTGAGTCAGGAATGAGCAACTGTGAGCACCACTTGTCCAGAAGTCTCTAAAGCTTCTTCATGCCAAGTAAGACATAGGAAAGCCTTGATTTCCTTTGTCCCTGAAGTTCCTCCACCACTCCTAGCTGTGACAAACACACCATCTCACCGAGTGTCTTCTCATCGGTTCATGTTGCAAACGACGTACGCTCTACTTTGAGAACTCCCGACACACCAACGCTCAGCAATTCCATCTGAAATAACTCAAGGTAATTTGACCAATCCCTCTATTTGCCTCCGCCCCGTTCCAATCCGAATGCGGCTTCAGCATGCGCCTCCATCCTCCCATCGCACATGGTAGGGCACCGCCGCGCAACCCTGGAAGAAGCCCCCAACCTGGCCGTGAAAGCCACACCGATGCGGTGACCATGGATTCAACTGCGCTTGAAGTACCATGTGTGAGCGTCCACAACTGGTCTATCTCTGTCACCCCAAACACTGGAACCTTGGCCTCCGTACAAGACCAATTCAAGGGTGAGAAGGTTCAATGCATGGGTGAGAATGACCAAGGGTGACAATAACCTTGCAATAGCCGTCAATGCATGGGCGATGTGATGTGACAAAAAAGAAACTTCACCAAGCACATTGGCTGCAATTCCTCACTCCATCCACACCTCACCGAGGAGGAAGAGGACCAAGCCATGCATAGGCCACGCGTGCCACGCGAATGCTGGAAGCTTCCGTGGTGGACCAATATTTTGTGGTTCGCCGAGCAGGTTGAACATGAAATGTCCAGAAAGGTCAAACGTTTGGAAGCATGAAGCAAGCGGGTTACGGCAAGGGGATAGCGCAAAAGAAACTTCATGTAAACACCACTGATATTTCAGAGTCTACATGCAGAGGTTGGAAGGTCGACAAACTCTGGATGAAACAAAGAATTGTCAACTTCCTAAAATGTCCCGCAGAATGGGAGACCAACGTGAAGAATTCTGTCAGAGGCCCAGGGAGCCGTTCTCTGGCCTCGAAACAAGCAAAAGGGCAAAAACCTTCTGCATATCCACTCGCTGGATGGATTTGGAGTGTAGAATCCCCGTCTCACCCCGAACATCCGGTGAATTCATTGGACTCAGGCCCAACTTGTGGTCATTTCATCAATTTGGCAAGGCTGCAAAGCTTCAAGAGCTTGAGATCAGATGGCGAGATGGCAGTCAGTCACACCACCACTTGCAAAACGACCAATTCTTGGGCTTAGTTTACAGAAACTCCGGCACATCATCTCCTGGCTTCGGCCGCCAATTCACAGGTTGGCGAGTCTCCCCCCAATGAAAGGAATCCTTGGAACAGTCCCAAATCAAAAGCCGCCTGGTCACTTGCAATCTTGGGCAGTCTGGGTGATCAAGTGAGTCAGTCAGTTTATAGTGTTTATATACCTAACTGGCCATAAGGAGCAAGGACGCTACTAGGGGCTTATAAGGTGAAGCTCCGCTCTCACTTTTGGGTCAACGTGGCTCCTTTGGAGCGTTGCAAGCACGTATCCGCGTGTAGGGACAGGCGTTCGCACATGGGGCACAGTTCGGTCATTACCTTCTTCCTGTTGAGAAGAAAAACGCAGCCAGAACTTCCCGTGCCAGAACGAACCCACCAGGAATGAACCACCGCTAGCGGTGGCCTCAATCATCTCACCATCTCACTTCAGGTTCCGAAGGCCCACAGCGGAGGCCTGTTTCGACCTGGAGGCCATGCTGCGCCAGGCCTAAGCCTAGGGCTAGGGTTCCACATCAACTCACTTACACTATGTTACCACAAAAAAATACAGACATGGACAATTATATGGGCTCCACGGCTCCCTTTCCGGCGAAGATGGGGTGTCACATAGTGTCACACAAGTCACACACAAGGCTCAAGAAGCAAATGACCTACATGTGACCACACGATGTTCAGTTCTTAACAAGAGCCTAAGTATACATGTGCTTGAGAACGAAAAGGCTCGCAGCTACGTTTATATAATCTAGAATCTAGAGCCCTTTTTGTCACGCCTCGCCAGGCCATGCTGCGGATGCTCCACGACGAAACTCTGGGAGCGGGTGATCATCCTTGGAACTCAAAGGAGAACTCTCACTCTGAATCCGCCAATCCATCAACCAATCACAAGCAAGAACTCCCGAACCACATCACACAACCAGACCAGAACCAGAAACACCAATACTTTCTGAGAGCCCCCCAACGGGTCGCTGAAGTAGAAGTACTTCTCCGTCTCAGGGACAAGTGAGAATCATCGGCGTCGCACTTCAAAGAAAATGTCTTCGTTCCCCATTCCCCAAAGGAAGAGGTATGTGGGCGGGGTGGGTGTCGTGCTATGCTCTGGTCTGTCTGAGTCCAAACCGTCCAAACCAAGCATAATGCGCCATGTCCATGAATTCACTTCTCCAAGTCCAAGGAGACTTTGGACATTATGTTTAATCTCAGTTAACCAACATGTTTCATGCTCCACATGAACAACCCAGCATTTTGACGATTTACCCGTCTAGTCTAGTGGTTTGCCCAAAAGTGCCCAGCACCATCCAGCCTGATCGGCCGCCTTTTCAGCCGCCTCTCAGGTGCTGAGGAATCGTGAAATGCCAAGATCGACCGAGAAATGCAATGTCTTTCATCCTTGTGTTGGAACCACAACAAGCCTTCTCTTTTTCGTCTTCTCCAATACTTTAAGCAGCTTCTGTTCCAGCGTGTGCATGCTGGTCAGTTTGGCTGTCAAAAGTAGCACCTCGAATCACACCGACCAACCAAACAATCCAAACAGCCCACACCACACTAGCGATCCGGACGGTTCATTGAACCATGGGAAAAGAAAGGGCGAGTTGAAAAGATTCAGTTGGAGACCATTTTGTGACCAACCACTCTGTCATGGCCCCCGTCCGCCTCGACGCGAGAGTCGCCCGGCGCTGGGGCGGGGATCTTGGCAAAGGCGACCTTGGGCAGAAATGCGTTTGGCCACGCCCACAATTTCCTTCAAAATGACAAGCAAGGTGAGAAGTGACGTGGATATCCCTTGGTTGATTGATCAAGCAAGAGCAACCCCAGCGAAAAGTTGCAAAAATGGGACAAGCCGCATCCAAGCGGTGGGCTGGCTCAAGGTTTGAGCAACCTTGCTCCATGGAAGTGGAAGTTCTCCGGAAGACTAGTGACAGTGATCTACTGGAAGGGGCGCGTCAGTGCACTAGCTTGCAGGATCCACCTGATTCAAGCTCTCTTCTCCCGGCTGCCGCCACTCTTTTTGGGGCAGCGTAGGGACGCACCACGCCACGAGGGACGCACTGCATCGGGTGGTGGTGGCAGTCCAACCAACCAACTGTGGTGGTTGAGAATTAACTGCTGTGATTGTGCACTTCCGGGTCACCTCGTTTGCAACCTATAGGTCGCCTTCCTGAACCATGACGGTTTTTTTGTTTGGGTGTCATAGTGGCCAGGCGCCATGCATGTTTTCGGTACATGTCGACACTTCTACCGCAGAGCTTCAATCAGGGAGTAACCGTGAAAGGAGTCATAACTAAAAGGGTAGAGACCCACTGCCAAGTTCCCGTGGGTGTTGAAGCAGCTCAGTTTCTGGGCACTTACTTGGTTCTCCTTCCCCCACAGTGTGTGTGTGTTCTCTTCATGGCGAAGAGGTGGTGGGTGGCTCTCTCCTACGATTCAACCACCAGACTAGTCAAGTCCAGCAAGCATCTTTTCTGACTCTCAATTCATGCTAAGAGAAGCTCCGAAGAACCCCCCGAAAAAACGACGCCGCGGAACCTCCGCTCGTCCAAGACCTTGCCACCCTACCCGACTAAGTCGCCCCCACGTGTGGCACCGAGAAGTAGTGGTACTGGGACACCGGAAACGTCGGCTTCTGAAAGGTCTCAGCCTCCGATCAAACCAGCAACACCCGAATCCGCGAGCGATGCGGTGTCATGTCGAAAGAACGGAAGGTGGTCAGGAAGGCTTCTTGTTGGTCGATTTCTTTGAACGCGAAACTCACGAAGTCTTCCAACAAGAAGCCTTTGATCATGAGATAAAGCTGTGCTCCTTTCGAGGCTGCGTTAGGGGTGCCTACCATCGACATGCCATCGATCTTGAGAGCCTACCATCGATCTAGGCTGCCAAGTCAATGACCCTCTTGAACCATCTCTCAACTTGGTCCTTCAAAAACAGTCAGCCTTTGCCAAAAAAAAGATGCCAAAGATTGCCAAAGCATCATCAAAAACATTATCCCCAAAAGGGCCCTCTCAAATCTTCTCTGGCCCATTTTCAGCAAGAAGCTAGTAGGTTGGAGGCCATCGCTAGTAAATTGCAGGCCATTGCTACTAGTAACAAGAAGCTTCTCCTCAACTTTCCAAACTTCTCATTCACCCATGACTCAGGAAGAGAAAACCTCTGGAGCATCTCTGGAGCATCCCCTAAGCTCACTGCTCGCCAGGACATCATGGGATCCTCCGTCAAGGCGCCAGTGGAGCGGCTGTGCACGAGCTGTTCGTTGGTGGCCTTCGCAACGGGGCCGAAGCGATGGGCCGCGCCGCGATGGGCCGCACGCGCCGTGGGCACGGTTTCACTTCGGATTCACTGCGTCGGACCGCGGTGTCGCGCGAAATTGGGATCTTTGGAGATAAAAAGAATGCATGTTTTACATGTAAACAAATGCATTGTCATGCATTGTCTGACTTCTAACAGAACATCGATTCAATATGCTCCTTATCTCCTATGTCATACTGGTATGACGGACCAATGCCCTCTGGAAGCACACCGAATACCTAACTGGACGAAGCTTTCCAATTAATGGTATTGCTGCATGGATTCGCGGAGGCTTTCCATGTCTGAACCAGCATCAATGCTGAGAATACAGTCTGTGCTCAAAAAGCAGACGTGTCCGGATTCAGGATTCCCTAGCTAAATATGCAAAACGGGTGGGTATGGATGGGGGAGTCCCCGATCTGAAATGAGTTGGTCAGAGCAGAATGGCCACACGTGAAAATCGGAATCAGAACTCACAATTCCAAGTCGAAAGTGCTAAGTGAATCTAAATGACCTATAGATACAGCCCTCTCATCATCTGATCTCCAGAAGGGGAAGCTTTTCAGGCAAATACCAGGTATGTCGTGTGGTCTTGGGCATGTCGTCTTCACCATTTCACGTGACAGTTTAAACCACCCGCCGGCCTGTGGCCCAGAAGGGGGCGGCCTGCGGACGAGACCAAGAGTCTCCGGAGGCGGCAAGGAACCGGTCCAATGGGCAGAGAGATGCTTCTGAAGACTCCCCAAAAGTACCGAGGAGCATAGAGAGGAATGGTTGAAGACTCCCAAAAAGTACCGGACAACAATGTTTGTCAAAAAAAAACACCTGAGTTTGATCTGATTTGGGCGAAACCCAAACTTGCCGTCGGTCATTGTTAATCAGGATTTCCATGGATCTGCATTCCAAGATCTGGGTCGCAGTTGGGGTCGGAAGGAGTCACAGACCTGGGCACCCCAGGTCAACATAAATGAAACATTGAAGGTAAATACCCTGCCTGCCCGAACCGGGAGTCCTCTGAACAAGGCCACCACCGAACCGGACCCCTGTCGCCTGGCATCAATCAAGCCTCAGTGAGATCATCCAGGTACCGCCCATCGTGTGTCGTCAGTTGTTGCTGCCACGCTCACCATGAATTCGCTTCCAATCAAATCAAGGGCATCGCTACTGGCAGCTAGAAGCTACTATAGTAGCAGGGGCATTGCTACTAGTAACAAGTGCTTCGCTACTTAGCTACGAGTCCCGAAAGTGCTTCAGTTCCCGGAGAAGATCCGTACATCTTGGGAGAAACACGTGGCAAGAATGGAGCTGGGGAGGTTGATGGAGCCTGGGACATCTCTACAAGATCAGCCACCCTTCAAAACAGCTGTGGAACCTTAGGACTTTGCATCTTCATTGATGTTCATTGCTGATGGCGATCGCATCAAGACAGACCCCATGCGCACTGGTTGTTTGCAGCCCTTTTCGCGGAGAATCCACAAAACAAACCCGGGCAGCTTGTTTAGCGAAGCGAGTTGCAACGCAGCGTTCAGCGACCAAAATTCGAGGCCGCAAAAATACATATATCAATGGATATACACTACACCTCGAACTTGCACTCTGATGTCAACGCCTCATAGCCCCGGTGAACACTCAGCAAACCAACGAAAATCGACGCCCCTGCCACTGCCCGCTGCATATGTCACCCGTCTCCTGCCGTTTCGCCACGTTTCACCGTGGCCACTGGGCTGATCCGACCTTCTCGGTCGTTCACCACAGGCGCATTGTGAACTCCTTGAGAGTCACAGCGAGTCACAAAAAAGGAAGACCAAGGGTCGTCTTCACTTCCTTATACAGTAGTAGGGTAGGGTAGTACGGATGTACAGATGTATGATGTATGGCTTGCAAAGGGTTCCTATATTCTATGCTATTCTGAGTTAGCATTGCGGTTTCAGAGTTTCCCGATGTCGGCCGGTGACATCCACCACGTCACAGGGTTCGCTGCACGATGCGCTCGCCGCATTGAAGCCCTGAGCCATTGGCGGTGCCACTTCTGCAGCACGGCCAAGCCTGAGGGTTCGCATGGCAAGCAGGCTTCGGAAGGAAACCTCATCTTTTGGGTGTATCCTATTACCAGTACCAGGGGACCAGGGGATGATGGTTAGTAAAGGCCTTCTTCAAAATATCGGACAATGAAGCAGCCAACCCATCTTAGTGTTCAATCGAGCAGCCCACGAGCACTAAACTCAACTGATCAAGACCTCCATCCCCACGAAAGCATCCTGCTAGACTCTCCCATGTGGCACCGCTGCAATGGAGATGTGAAAAACTGCGAAGGTGCGTTTCGGGACGGTGTAGCTTGCACACAACTTGGGTGGCCAAGGAAACTATACTGCTTTCAAAACGCAGGTGGGCACCTTTCACACATGATTCCAACGAAAGCAACAAATGTAATGGAATTAGTTTGAGTTTGTACATACTCTATGTCGTGGATGGTTTCATTCTTGGACACGTCCAAAGGATTTCAAAGGTCTCACCGGTCAGTTGCCAGAAAGTGAGAGACCGTGGGGCTTGTTCGCGGTCAACGTGCACAGTTGAGGAGAAGTTGTGCGGAGTGGCCTCTTCGGAAAAACTATAGCCCCATTTATTAGCCACCAATTGTTCGTTATTCAGGAACCCTCCCAGCACATGCGTATATCACCAGAACCACCAAGACGGTGATCACATCCCATCGACTCGCATCCGAGTGATCACCATCCAAACCCGTCATCACCGATCACCGATCGGTCGCAGCGAGCGGGCGTCGCACCTGGCAAGCCACGTGGAGCCTGGCGGTCACCACGCGACACGGTCCCGTCCGTCGACCCGGACGGACCCAACGACCTCTGCTTCGACTGATCGAAGAAAACGTTGTGACCACGATCATAGTGAGGACAAACCTTTTGCGGGACCTAGTCCGGTGGTTGATCCACCATCTGCACGGTATGGGTAGAAAGTGCCGAGATAACGTAGCTGACTGTGCATTTAAATTATCATTCAAAGGGAGGCTATACTAGTAGCTCCTGGCCTTACTACTAGTAACAAGGATGCTACGAACGGAACAAAGGGCATCGCTGCTAGGAGCAAGGACGCTACTAGAAGGAATCGTCTCAGAATCACTCACATCCTCCAGCCATGCAGCTCCGTGCGCGGCCTTCATCATGCCATCGGGAGACTGAGCCTTTGCACGTTGCCCGGTAAAGCTGGAGGGGAACGCATGAACAGTAATAAAGCCCGAATAAAGGGGCGAAGCACAAATCAAAGGAAGGTTGAAAAATGCAATGTCTGAAAAATGGCGAAAGCGCAGGAAAGAACGGCAAAGTCAGAAAGCAACAAGTAAAGCGACAAGGGCTAAATTGGACACGCAACAAGGCAGTGAATCATTCGTTAGTTGAAAATAAACGTCCCCTGCCTGCATGGTCATCTGCGCACGCTCTGCACGCTTCAAAGCCCGGTCCCGTTGCCAGGAGCGGCGGACCTGGCAACGGGAAACATCTCAAAACACGATGGGTTCTCTCAGGAGCTCATGATGGGTTCTTGTGCATTCTTGTGGATGTGTATGATGTGTTTGGACCATAGCATAGCTATCACTACCACCAACTCGACAAACAAGGGACAGTACCACAAAACACCGCCAACCTTGGGATCTATGATGCAGCGTTATGCTGACATTCGCATGAGGACAACTAACGGGTTTGGTGGGTTCCTTGCATTCCCCACCACCCACGGGAAGAACCTACCAATGCGCTATATGCCGGAGATCTCCTTACACTCAGAAGCCACTTGCAGTCGCGGTGTCACGATGTGTCACGGCTAGCTCAGCCGCACCTCCATGGCTGCACTTCCTTTGGGCGACAGCGGCAATTCAGCCTTAGCAGCGACAGCGACATGGGCTACTGCCGTTGGAGGCCGTTGGTTTCATCGAACCTGGTTGGCCAAAAAGGGAGTTAATTGAAACATTGGAACCTTTCAGATCCTTTCCAGGATGGAAGATGGCAGTGCAGAGTGCAGCTGAAGCCCCTATAGCAAAAGGGGACAGCAGCTGTGATGGATTCGCTCGCTCACCGCTCGTTGTTACCATGCTTACCGCTAAGTGGCATCTCTTAGGGAAAGCAGACGATCTCTTCGATTCGACTCAGGTCGACCCCTTCGAAACCTCAGAGCAGTCGTACCTGTTTGACCTGTTCGGGTCATGTCCCAATGACCCGTTCGGTACGAACGACCCGACGTCCACCTGCTGGCAGGGTCTGATTCACATCGATTTTCGGAATCGGAGCTCTCAACCGTTGCGGAATCGGCGCTATGGCCCAACATCGGCACCCCAAAACCGTTGGCCCAAACCAACCTGAAAACATAGCACGTATAAGCTCCAGTTGACCGGAATCGCTGGTCCTCATTCCGAGTGTTCCATTTAAAACCAATGACCTGACCTGACCTGCACCGTCTTCACCCTGAGTGGTGAGTCCAAGTCCCAGATCCGCCCTGAGCTGCCGAGCTCTACCGCGGCGGAAGGCTTCGTCGCCGAAGCAGATCCAGTCACGGCCGTTCCTCGGAGAAAATCGGCTTCGGTGCTTCGGTCCTTCTCCGTCTCCGTTGAGTCCAGCTCACCGCCCTAACGATGGAAGAGAATGCTGATGCTGGCAGCTGCTAGCTGCGATGCTAGCTGCTAAGCTGCTTAAGTGATGCTAAGCCGCACCTCCAAAAGTCTTTGTCTTGACCCCAAGTCGCATGTCGGCGTGACGTGCACAATGGATGTGGGCAGTGGAGGTGGCTACGAGTGGCCACATCACGTTGAAGTGGCTTAAATGGCTTAAAGAAGCAAGAGACCTTGCCTGGCACTCACTGACTTTCGGTAGACCGGTCATCTGGGAACACGCAAACAGTGTCGACCCTGACTTTGAAGGTTCCGGACATAGATAAATACATTAAAAAATGCATCATCTTCTACCATCCAGCCTTTTGCTATCATCTTACACTTCTGCATGCGGCATTCCTCGCCCATTCCCCGGCCCCTGGGGCTTTCGGACCCTCCGGAGGTGGCATTGTTGTTGATGAGCCTCAAGCCTTAGCTGAAAAGTCTGAACAGATTGGAAGACATGTAGTAGCCATCGTTTCTGAACATCAAAGGCTTGCGAGGTTTGGATGAACGGGGCTTCACAGCTCACCCGCATGGTGCGAATCACAGGTTCAAGGGACCGAAGGATGTTCAAACGAACACAGAAAGTGCGAGTGACTCCCAAGGATAGTTCTGAAGTGACTCCCAAGAACTATTTTTCTGGACTCTATAGGTGGAGGCCATCGCTACGACCGTATCAAGAAGCTACGAACGTTAGTAGTGGGCATCGCTACGAACGGAGCAAGAAGCTACCTCTCTGATCATTTTCTTCTATCAAGGTGCCGTAGGCCATCTTGCACAACAGCGGAGGGCCGAAGAAATCGACAATCCGATCAATGTTGGGTCTTGGGATTGTGGGGAAAACCGGGGAAATGTGAAATCCCTTCCTCTGATATGGGTCTCATGTTGACATTGGCTCTACTTTCAGGACATATCACTTTTTTGCTGTATCGGTCTCACTCTGTACCAAGACCCTGCTCATTGCATCAGGGTAAGAGCCTGTCTGAGGTCCTTGAAGAACCCAAACATGTGTGCTTTGCTTGTCTGCCGCCTCCTTGTTGAGCAAAGTCTCACGGAATCATCGTGCAAATTGACTTCTGAATGGCTGGAGTAAGGAAATAAGACACCTCTACAACTGGTTCTGAGCATGTGAGCATCTTGTCGATTGTGTTTGTCATTCCAGACAGCTGAGTCCTCAAGGGGGGCCTATGTGCAGTCACGAGTTCCCCAATTCATTGTCATGTTTCTCACCATGCATGATAGGAAACTCATGGAAACTCCGTATTCCCATCAAAGGTTCACTTTGACTGCTACCGGGCCATACAAGCCCAGGGCTTTCCTTTGGAGATGACTTGACCCCTCTCACCTGCTTCCTTCCCACTGTGCTGCCTGAGGGTGCCTGTCCAACATGTGGATCTCTTCTTGTCCCCTTCTTCCCGCCGTCGAAAAGGACACCACCGCAACTCGACTCGATCCGAGATCCGCTGGCGCGGTGCGACGTCCTTTTTCCGGGACGACGTTGAGTCCTCGCTCCGTTGGAGGCCTGGAGGACACGGTCTGTGACTCTGGCTGTAGGGCACCAAAATGAGCTCGTGAAACTCAGACATACTTGGATGTGCCAGGACTGAGGACGAGCTACCGTATATAAACCGCCCCCACATCATGGCACTCTAACATGCTCGCCCTGCATATTCTTCACCATTCGGCTCGTGGATCTTGCCTAGCCAATGGCTTCTTTCCCTTTGTTCCAGATGCTTCCACATGTACCAGGCTAGAACAAACCGGAGAAACATGGGAACAACAGGTTGTTTGAAGGCTCCTGCAACCGCCTGAACGTGCGCTGAAGACCTGTTGAAAGGCATCCAAAGCATTAGGCTGTATTTCTTTTGGTTCTTGCATGTTCTTATCCTTTTTTATCCTTTTTCTGTATTCGGCTGTCCTGTGTTTGTTTCCTTTCTCCAAATCTTTTTAGACCTGTCCTTCATTTCAATGTCCACTCTTTCAAAGCAGCTGTCCACATCAAGCAGCCCTTCTTCACACCTTGTGGGTGGTGTGAGAACCTGCAACATCACGTCCTCTCTTTTCGGATTCTTTTGCTTCTGTCTTCCAGCGCACTCTCCCAGCACTGCAACAGCTGGGACTCCTCAGGCCTCCACCCTGGTCCCTGGCGGCCCCGCAGTTGAACGGAGACGTCGGGTGTGGGGTGATCCGGCAACAAACGGCTGTGCGTCCCAAGAATTGAGTGGATCTTCTTCGTCCAAGGTCGGAAAACACAAAAAGTGTTGAGTCTTGGCCACTGAGTCTTGGAACACAGAGCCAATTCTGCAACTTGCAGCATCGTACGCAGCAACTTTGCTACGTTTAAACAAGATTTGCCTCTATACACGATCTGTACATCTAAAAGCCGGCAAAGGCAAAGCGGCGTTGCCTGACATTTCCGGATGCTACTGGTACTACGAGCCGCATCTTCAGGCTTGTGGGTGTTTAGGCCTGCCTGGTGCGGACGTGTACAAATCCAGGCCCATCAAACACTATGCTGTCGAAATCGAGATCTTTGAATCCTTGAGACCAGCTTCATATCCTTTCAAAACATTCATTTGTTCCTAATTATTCTAAAAGGACATCATCCTAAAAGAAGGAAGGCTTACGCCACGCCGGGTTCACCTCGACACATCGGACCCCAACCCCGGGGCCCTGCGACGCACACCTTCATGCGCTCCTCCTCGTTTGGGGCCACCAGCTGGGCATCTCCTGTGGGACGAACATAGGATGTTGGACGAAGGCCTCGAATCAGGTGGGAAAACACCTTGCCTGACACAGGAGGTTTAAGCTGTACGAAAAACATCTGACAACACCTCATCAGCATCAAATCTCATGAGCCAGATCTCATTGCGCTTCTCTGCTCCTCTCATGTAAACCATTTCCGCAGCATCTTCCCCAATTTTCCCCCACATGGATGGCACAATGAATTCGACATCCCAGAACGAATTCTCTCAAAGGCATCCGAACAGCCTGAGGCTCCTCCACTTCCTTCGGCACCTAGACAAAACTTCTCGGCTGGGCTGGCTTTTCGGAAAATGTTTCAAGGCCCAGTCAACTCCCCTATTAGCATTGAAAGAACACCAAAACTCCTATTATATAATAGGCGGATATGTAATGATAAGTCATGAAGAAATGGTCCACGTCACCCAAATTCAGTGGCCAACGGCCCCAACAGCCCCAACAGCCCATGCCACCCAGTGTCAGCTGGCTTGAAGGATCGTGGTACCCCCTGCGGCGTGGGCCTCGACGCCCTCAGCACAGCTCTCGTCTCCGATCGGGCGCGACTCGAACGGAGCGGTTTCGGACGCTACGAACCGGGCGCTCCTGGCCTTACTTAGTCGCAAGAAGCTATTGGTAGCCCCTGGCATCGCTACTAGTAAGAAGGGCAGTACTACTAGGAGCAAGAAGCTACTAGTTTCACTTGGACTTGTCCCCATGACTCCCCAAACTCGTCCATGCACTTCCCGTCAAGCCGCGACGGCAGTGCCAAACCCGCCGCAGAACCTGCAGACCTCAGCGCTGCTCCTGAAGATCTTTAAATCTTTTAAGATCTTTAAGACGCATTGTTTTCATTTCAAACGCAACATGAAATAAGATTGTTAAATGTTTGGTTGTTCACATTTAAAGCTCTCCTCCATGCGGCAACGTTGTAGCCGCGGTGGACGTGCTTGTTGCGCTGAAAGCAGATGAGCAAGGCCTTACAAGAAGTCTCCAACAAATGAAATGAGTCAGGCACTCTGACTCTGTGCTGCTACCACCCTAAGGTAGAAATCAAGAAAACTATCAACCCGACTCCATCTCTGACTGCTAAAAAAATCAACCTTGCCAGCATGTCAAAGCCAAAAAGCGTTGGCTTTGCATCATCCTTCTTCGGCTGAGACATGTCCGTTTCGGTCGGCGGCTTTGCACTCGTTGCTTCAGGTACAGCACCTTGAGTGGCTGCTGTGGGTGTCAAGTGTTTAGAATATCATGGTTGCCCTTGCAGTGTGTCAACAAGTTGCTACAAACTGCACAAATATTCTGATCTTGACAGGGCTGGCAGATGCTGGCAGCAAGGTCATATTTCCACCAAGAGACGAGACTCTGTAGGCTTCGGTGCAGCCTGTGTGCTGAAACACGGCAAACTTTCATACTGACCACCTCA